ATAGGCCTAGAATACTTTTTAGTCCGTATTTACAGCCTTTTTGACTAAGATGAAGTCCCACCTCTTTGAGCGCATCCCGTCCCCGTTCCCGAGGTCCTCCTCCGCGCTTACCTGTTGTGCATGTGTTTCCGCCCGCTCTCAGCCGGTCACCGATCCCATTGGCTCTCGGGCGGGGCCTTTGCTAGCGGTGACGTCATGGCTACCCCTGCAGTGTGAATGAATCAAGCTGCCCGTCTTATCCACGCCAAAAGAGCACGACGAAATCCCGCAGGCTCGGACAATTTTCCCGGATAAACGAAGGGCCAGTAGGACCGAAACGGCCAGAGGGACGTTGACCCGAAAAAAGACGGATCGTCCTTTTTGTATATATTTTTATGTTTTATATAATATAAGACCGGGAGATCTTCAGTCCTCTACTTTGTGAGTGTGCCCGTGTGTGAATTTTTATATTATTGGATCACAATGATGCAAAGTGCTGCTGTTATACCGACAGAAAGCCCGGTAAAGAGTCTACCAGAAATTCTCGGAGTGCCAATGCAACGTAAGGCTGTTTCTACCTCTTCTATCGATTATTTCATAAAGTAATTGGCGAGCATGCTTTGGAATGCTGCAGGAGCTCGCTGTCACGATATGCGCATCCTGTAACTTAAACACGGAGAGTGAGACAAGAAGTACTGAGATAGTCTAAAAAGCTATTTCATCGGCTGTTAGACTATTCCTCGTATGTGTGTGTGTGTATGTGTGTGTGCGCTTGTGTGCACGCGCGCGTGTGTATGCATGTGTGTGCGTGCGCGCGTTTTTGTGTATGATAACCATTCACGGTGTCCTCAGAGTCATTGAGCGCTTTACCTAAAAGCAGTGAGCTATGCGGAAGTGCAACATGTCTTTTTCATTGTACGCAACATTTGTCCTTTTCGGGGTACCTAGATAGTGAATTTGGTACATGGCAAGAATTTAATGCTACGCTTGGCATTTGCTCTGTGACTCAGTATTTCTGAACATGCTACGATGGCGTTGCGACATTTAGACACTAAAAACACTCCGCTAAATTTCCCATACATATATATCATACATGCATATGTTCTTTTACAATTATGCTGCAAAAACCCTCAAAACTTTACTTACTTTTACAAACGGTAGGCCTGTATATCAAACGGCCTTTCACTATGTCACGATTCTAACAAGATGGTTGGACTTTTAAGGAATGCGGCCGTGCTCACTGTCGGTCAGTGTTATGAGTTTGTTCTGCACATTTTGTGTCTGTTTATGTTGGCGTGAGCTTACCATGAAACGTATCTTTGCTTCTTAGTATGTGAAAAATAAACGCATATATTTTATAGAGTGCCGAAAAACACCGTGCTTGTATTCACTACAATTCTGTATTTAACATTACCTGTGATAAAATAGTACTTCATAATCTAGTGTTTTTTCACGAAATGTATTTCTATGAGAAAAAAGTTCATATGCTCTGCGCCAATAAAATTTAAAATGTTTCGGTTTTATTATACACAATTCTTAATTTTGAAAAATGTATAAATTTAGTATTTGAGTGGTTATCAGCATCACAGTATTAAATTACCTATTATCATCGCATCTGGTCTTCATCTCCAGCATGTTAATCTCTACTAGGCCTATATAATCTGATGGCAAAATCAGGGTGGAACCTGAACTGGATAAATTCCTGACCTAATTATTCATGTCAAGGCTACCTGACAGCACATGCGACCCAGTTATTACGTTTCAAAGTCATATTTCCTTTGATAGACTGCGCTAAATTCCTCGATAAATGTCAAGCAAATGGTTACGCTCGCAGAATTTTTCAACAGATTATTATGATATTAATTGACAATAGCAATAATAATTAACCACAATTAAAAATAACAACGAAGTAATTGTTATTATTATTATTTATTGTTGTTACTTTGTTACTACTACTACCACTAGGCTACTACTGTAATAAGAAGAATAGGGTTTTAAAATATAACACTATATTAATAATATTACAGAATATCATTAGCAAACAGAGACTAACCCTCACATGAAATTTTAATATGCGGCTTTTATCCAAGTTCTAAATCGTTGTATCACTTGCCGCAACTGGTTGTGTACTATCTTCACATCACTGATATTTTTACTAACAGATAACATTTATTTTCATTCTAGGTGGTAACTTTAGTATCTTTTAAATACCTTACTGATTAGCTTGAATTGCTGAATTAGTAAGCGTGGATTTTTCTGGATCAAAATGTGGGCCTCTATTTATCTGAATAATAATAATAATTCACTGAACTACTGAGTTATTGAACGTGTCCCATTTTAATGTATTTGTACCTTACAAAAAAAAAAGGAAATTTAAAACAAGAAAATTAATTAAAAGGTAGAATTGATTTTTTTCAAGGTCTGGAATGCGAGGTCAACGGAAATATACCTAAAGCTATGTTCTAATGAGAGCAGTTATGACTGAAGAAATGGAATATTCTAATGCATCTTCAAGCCAATGCGCCAAGGGGAATTGTTAAGGTTATGAGGCTTTTGGCTGAAAGGTAGCCAAGGCTGCGGCCTTAATGGAAAGAATCACGGCGCTGTCCGTTCAGCACCCTGTGTGTGTCTTTCAGCTGCTGTTCTCTACATCACTGTTTCGTTTATTTAATCTTTCGTCTTATTCGAGGCTGCCTGTTAATGGGTTCTGCAGAATCATCAGCAACGGGCGCGCTGACACGCGGCTCCGTTTATGCCATCAGTGTTTTAATTTATTCCATTGAATCCACGGCTGCACTTATTGCAATACGGCGTGCCAAAGTACCTTGGACCAGAACAGTCGCTGCCAACTTTCAGAGCTTCTTAAAGTCGCAGTGCTCGGTTTCCCCGAATCAATTCCCTAATTTTAACTATATAATGCAAAAATATTGTTTGACATTGTAGTTGTTTCACGCTGTGTATTTTTACTGATACACAGCTATGCTACCACAACATGGGATACATTATAATTCTGCTATAACTTGATTCAAATGAAGTAATATGTGACTTAGTTACTAGGGCAAACGTTTGATAAATCATGTCAGCGTCGTGGCATTGTTACAAAAGCCAGCACGGGTTTTTGCACACCTTAATAAGTTGGCATCAATCTATTTTGTCAAAATTTTGAATTATGATACCGAATGAAGACAATATTAGCAACATAATGTTTTACACACAGGGTCACAGGTGTAGAAACAAAAATTGTTTTTTTTCCTTAAATATTTCGATGACGATTACTGGGCTATTTAGCCAGTTAAAAAAGGATATTAAATGATTCCTGGGGATTTTTAGCCTGGAATTGTTCATTTTGGAATCTGGGAATAGTGGCAATTGTACGAACTAAACAAACTTGTGACAGACACAGCGCCTCGAATTAGGACGGCGATTACACGGTCAAGACCTCATCCAGATATTTATGCAATTCAATTTTTGAACGATTATACAGAGTGTACTGATATAGAAATAGCGGTATATCCTCCGATTTGCACCCTCTGTACGACCTCGTCCCTCAATACGCCTCCATTGTGTTGCAATTTCTGTAAGTACGAGATAGCGAAAAACTAGAATCACTACTTTTTCATGTTTATGCGAAAATGTTCGTTTTTTCAGTCCACTATATAGTAACATTCAGATTAACTTGGAAGTGGAAATGTACAGTTTCTCTCTCTGATAATAACTGTCTCAGTTTAAATCAATTTCAAAATCATACAAACCTTACTGAAATAAAATATTCGCATTCATGATTACTTTGTAGACACTGTTACTATCTAAAGCATTTGTGTAATTTAAAGTGACGTACGAGTGAGACAGGTAATATATAAACATTAGTAGATTATAACGATTAGTGCTTCTATTGTCATTTTGATTTTCAGTATTAGATTATTTAATATTTCATATTAAAACCTAGCTTGACTGCAGGCTCTTAAACCCATGAAAACTGACTGCTCAATTGGTTTGTTCTTAGCAAGAAACAATGTTTCACCCATGAATAATCTCTCGAAAATCATTCGACTATTTGATAATGAATTGAAGTCTGTCTTAATACATACAGCAAACCCACTCAAGAAAAATCTACATAGGATTTTTTGCTGCGCTATAGCAGACAGCTAAGAAGATTGCAAAATAAAATCAATCCATTAATAGCATAAACATTCATTTTAATGAATTTCATTCTGATATATGCGGGATATCTTTGATTCTGTGTAATACATTTTTACAATGACAATCTTTATGTTGGCAAGGAATTTCTTATAGGCATGTGGCCGTCTTTGTCGCTTAGCTACGTGGGGTCATTTTAAAACCTCTATGGTAGCGGTATACGTACAATAATTCGTAAATCAGTGATAAGCTGTATCCTCAAATTTATAGATTTAGCTAATTAACGTGTCGTTTTCTTTGGTCTGTCATGGTTTTCATTACTTACTATTATTTAAATACCTATCCATTCATTATATGATATGCATTATAAATATATATTTTTTAAAATTTTAATTATATTCTGTGCTCTACAATTATTATGGTTTTTCGTTTAAATGTCATCATATAATCGCAATGTTGTGGTTGAGGGTTCCTAATCGGTTTATTCATTTAATTTTTTTTTAATGTGAAGTACGTTATTGAGAAATAGCTGTATTACAGTATTGCTGTCTTTTTATCACTCATATTATGGAGATCTACTATTAATTATTAATCTTTCAAGTAAATCCCGGTTTATTTAAATGTGATATTCATGTTATATTTCCAGGCTACGCGCGTTGCCCGTAATAAAATGCTATTAAGATGAGGCCTGTAAATCTTTTAATCAGATATTACTATTATTAATTGTGCGTATCATGCCATGCAATGGAAATTTGTGTTTGTGATTATCGTCTAGTAAAAGTAGAATGCTTTGTAAGCCATCGGTACATTACTGTAAGTGGAACTTTTCGTTACTCTGCGAACTACTTTACGATTCCGGGTATACAGCAGCTTGATGTGTGTCATCTGTTCCGATAGAAATCCCCCAGTGCGCCGGCTGCAGCCAGCATATCCTGGACAAGTTCATCCTGAAGGTGCTGGACCGGCACTGGCACTCGAAGTGCCTGAAGTGCGCCGATTGTCAGGCGCTGCTGGCGGACAAGTGCTTCGCACGCGCGGGAAATGTCTACTGCAAGGAAGATTTCTTCAAGTGAGAGCTAATATTTTTATTGATATTTTTTGTTACCTAAAAAACATGTGAAATATGGCAGTTTTCAATCTACCCGCTATTGTTCCAATACCATAGTGTCATTGATCTGTCTTTAAACAAACAGTTACGTCTTATACGCATATATTATACGTTGAGAGAAACATTTACCCTCGTCTTTCTCAATTTTATATATTTTTTTCCATTCAGTGCGCCTAATTTTTAGGGAATCAGTTTAATTCCACTTTATTGTCATTGTACAGTGCCAGAGCAAGTGTACAAAGAAATCACATGCGACAACACACCGCACTAGTGTAATAGCTAGACTTTCAAACATTTAATCATCTGAACTATTTATTGCAATTAAATTGATTTTAGTTGTGGTATGTTTTATTATGTTGGCAAATGATAGAATATTCGCCTGACTATAAACCTAGAAATACTTTTGTGACATGTTTTTTTTTTTTTTTTTTGCAATATTATAAAATATCCATAGATTTGTTAACAAAGAAGGAGACAAATACCAATATGATCAATGTAAGCAGGTGTATGTTGCAGCTAAATTAAATGAAATTCAGTTGAATTTCATGAATAATCCTTTATTAAAAGTATTGTTTGAAGGCCAGAAACATGTAAATTACCTTCAGACATGCAGGCTGGAGCAGTTACAGCATCAGGCAGGACAGACTGAGGTCCAGGAAGCCCCTGCTGGCCCTCATAGAAGCCCGTGTCCCTGGGCCTTTCACAGCAGGTCATGTGATCTGACAAGCAAACCTCACAATGATTAAGGAGCCGAACTGAGGAGGAAAAGGTGTCAAGCGTACATCCATTGAGGGAATCCAAGGCTGAATCATGGTACTATACCTGAGCTGCACAAATAAAAACACATCCAGGTGTTCAAATAAGTAAACAATAGAAAATGCAGTATATAATAATAAAGCACATACCTTTTACATTCGTCAAGAATACAGCAGAACCTATAAACACACTAGTAAATATGCTTTTGACATCACCCACGTTTCCTGCATTATATTCATGACCCCAGGATTTTATGGCTGTCTGGTTGTGGGTGCAGGAATACCAGATACTCTTTGGCTACCTGGTGCATAAGACATCCTTGTCAGCGTTTAACTGCAAAATAATTTGTTGCCAAAGAATGCCAATGATATAAGAAGATCAGACATTCTGTCTGAATTGAAGCGGTGGGGTATTATCAGTATACTCCCCAGAGCATACCAGTGACAGCACCTGTCTAAGGTAGCTGCCATTTTCATTCGGCGCTAAGGCGGGACTTTCGTGACGATGCTTGTCTGAGTGTAACACTGTGCCTAGTCTAGGACTTTCCCCTAAAGCACTGCGTGTCCTTGCCACACTCGTGCTCCCAACTACTCACATTGCAGTGTTCTGGAATCATAGCTATTCCAGGTCAACTGATGCTTGACACAGTTTTATTACATCTCTCAGCACCACCCAGCGAAAGAAGTTCGGCTATTAGACATTTGTTTTCTTATTAAATGGAGAAGGAAATGCACGAGCGGGGACTTTAAAGCGTTTAATTGCACTCTCCTGGGCTGGGGCCGGGCTCTGATGATGGTAACCCGTAATGGATGTGTGAAGGGAGAGGCATCTGTCATGACTCAGCTTTTGGAGAAGCACTGAGAGATTAATCTGGAAGCGCCGTGAGTTTGTCTTGGATCCAACAAGTGATATGCATTACTGGGCAATACAAGGCACCGCTGTTTGCTGCCGCTCCACAATGGAGGACATTAAAACACTCCCAGCACTGCTCGCTGGCCACAGAAATGGCAACTACGTTCCTTTTCTTCCTTCTCTTCACATCCTCTTCCCCTTGTTTTTTTTTTTTTTTGCGATTTAATTTCAGAGGCATTAAAGAAGAAAATTAGGTTTGACTTTTATCCAAAACAGGATCAGTACTGGCTTTTACTAAATCATGTTTGAGAGGTTTTAATGTCAGAGGCTTCAATGAGACCTAAAAAGCTCACAAGTCAGATGCTGGTAGCTAACTTTATTAGGGGGCCCGGGGGGACAGAGGGGCTGGAGGCAGTTTAATGTTAAAACTGTAGTGGCGTGCAGGAGGGGGGTATGCTGGGGGATGGAGTAAGGGGAGCTCAGAGGTGGGGGCGGGCCTCACAGCTTAACCTTGCTTCAGAGGAAGGGGTTTATTTTGCCGTTTACAGTTACTGATTTACAGCCTTCCCCAGTCTCTCCTTTATAGTTTCCCTTCTGCACATTTACTTTGACTGCTTCACTGCATCCCTGGGCAGCTGCTGCATTCACTCTGGCCGCTTCACTGCATCCCTGGGCAGCTGCCGCATTCACTCTGGCTGCTTCACTGCATCCCTGGGCAGCTACTACCTTCACTCTGGCTGCTTCACTGCATCCCTGGGCAGCTGCTGCATTCACTGTAATTGCTTCTCTGCATCCCTGGGCAGCTGCTGCATTCACTCTGGTCACTTCACTGCATCCCTGGGCAGCTGCCGCATTCACTCTGGCTGCTTCACTGCATCCCTGGGCAACTGCTGTATTCACTCTAACTGTTTCACTGCATCCCTGGCAGCTGCTGAATTCACTCTGGCTGTTTCACTGCATCCCTGGGCAGCTGTCGCATTCACTATGGCTGCTTCACGGCAGCCCTGGGCAGCTGCCTCATTCACTCTAACTGCTTCACTGCAACCCTGGGCATCTGCCGCATTCACTCTGGCTGTTTCACTGTATCCTTGGGCAGCTCTAACATTCACTCTGGCCAATTCACTGCATCCCGGGCAGCTGATGCATTCACTGCGGACACTTCACTGCATCCCTGGGCTTCTGTCGCATTCACTCTGGCTGCTTCACTGCATCCCTGGGCAACTGCTGCATTCACTCTGGCTGCTTCACTGCATCCCTGGGCAGCTGCTGCATTCACTCTGGCTGCTTCACTGCATCCCTGGGGAGCTGTTGCATTCACTCTAACTGCTTCTCTGCATCCCTGAGCTTCTGTCGCATTCACTCTGGCCGCTTCACTGCATCCCTGGGCAACGCTGCATTCACTCTGGCTGCTTCACTACATCCCTGGGCAGCTGCTGAATTCACTCTGGCTGCTTCACTGCATCTCTGGGCAGCTGCAACCTTCACTCTGGCTGCTTCACTGCATCCCTGGGCAGTTGCTGCATTTACTCAAGCTGCGAATTAACAAAGAGTTGCCCTCGAGCCGCAGCGCCCAGCCCCAAGCACTCTTACATAATGAGGATCCTCCAGGGCACCATCCCCAGCGCCTGGCCACCATGCTTTATTTACGGCTCAACGTCTGGTGGTTTTACATGCTGGAATGCAGCCGTCATCCCACTTGCTTAACCGTGCGTCTGCTTGCAGGCGCTTCGGGACCAAGTGCGCCTCCTGCCAGCAAGGCATCCCACCCACCCAGGTGGTGCGCAAGGCGCAGGACTTTGTGTATCACCTGCACTGCTTCGCCTGCGTCATGTGCAGCCGGCAGCTGGCCACCGGTGACGAGTTCTACCTGATGGAGGACGGCAGGCTGGTGTGCAAGGAGGACTACGAGACGGCCAAGCAGAACGGTATGCCGGCCCCACCCCCTCCGCCAGGCCTTTCCTCCTCCACATTGCGGCTTTCTGACATCTATTCATTTCTTCAGAAATCATTACTGTAGTTCAACCCAAAAGCACATCATGGACAAAATGTCTTTCCCAATAAACCAATATAACTTTGACCAGGTATATTGACATTGAGGATTTTAAGCACATGCTACATACTTCAAACATACACGCAAAACTGTAGTGTTAGATTGTGAGTATAGTGTCCTTTATAGGTGATCATTATGATTATTATAACTACTTCACCGATTACAAACATACCAGCGCCGCTTCTGCTTCTACTGATACTAATATTAGTAACAATGTCTTAATGAAGTAATGGTGATGTTATTATAATTAATAACAAACTCAAAGCTGATCATGCTTGCTGGGCGTATGACATAGGGACAGTAAAACCTGTACCTGGCCACCTGGTCCACTAAGCAGGACCCTTTGGTTCCTCTACGGCAGTGTTTCCCGATCTGGTCCTCCGGTCCCCCAGATGGTCCACATTTCCGCTCCCTCCCTGGAAGGGAGCAAAAACATGGACCGTCTGGGGGACCCGAGGACCAGATTGGGAAACACTGACCTACAATCATCCTGAACTTGCTGAGGCTGCTAACCAAGGGCAAGCTAATATAGGCCATTCAGAAGCATTTAAACAGCAGGGTTTAGCATCCAAGAGGACACACCTGACTGTAATATACAGTAAGAGAGACACAGAGAGGTGATACGAGAAGGGGGAGGGTATTGAAGAAACAAAATCATAATAAAAATATCTCAGGATCTTGGCATCCTGCTCATTAAATCTTGAGTTGACGTGACCTTTTATGGATCGGAATGCTGAAAGCCCTGGCTTCGTGTTTATGGAGATTTCCATGCAATGCCCATTGATTATGCTAAGTGATGTAATGCACATTTATGGTAGGCCCTCAATAACTCCCCATTCCCAGAATCCTCTTGGGAGATTTATGTCCTCTTCAGCTGGAGTGGTACTGACTGAGCATCTCAAAGGCATTGAACTCTGTATCTCCTTCTAACTGCCTTGTCACATTGCAGTAGCTCTTTGTACTAAGCACACCTCTCACATACTCTTCTTAAAGAGATATTTCCCCTTCCCGAAACATCTGCAGAAACTTTAAGAGCACCGTTCTTAAAGGGCTAGGCTCGTTCCTTCCATGCGTCTCCTTGCATTGCCGTCACTCTTCCTTCCAATGACCCTCTTGCTTCTCTTGAAGATGACTCAGAGGCTGGAGCCAAGCGACCACGGACCACCATCACCGCCAAGCAGCTGGAGACCCTCAAGAGTGCCTACAAGAACTCGCCAAAACCGGCGCGCCATGTTCGCGAGCAGCTCTCCTCGGAGACAGGCCTGGACATGCGGGTGGTGCAGGTATGTGATTCTTCATGCACCGTCGGTGGGTCACTCTGGAGCTGTACCACAGGTCCTCCCGTCCTACGGGGGGCAATGTATGTGATTAATGAGTCCTCGATTCCAACCCAAAACACCAGCTGAGGTGATGTCCTCCTCAAATAATGACTCAAGGAAATAAACATCAGAGGCTGGAACTTCAGCGGACCTCATGGGTCTCAGCATGGAGCTATTGGCTGCCTCAATATCGTTTCAGTCTGTCACACAAGTGGACAGCTAAATTATATTTACAAGTAAGATCCACTGGGATCATCATCATCCCGAGAGAAAAAAACACATTTTTATATCACTCATTTAAACAGTTAGATATTTAGTGAAGATACTGAAATGAACTTCCACAGTAAAGGGAAACCAGATAGAGGACTGTGTTCTAAACAGCTGCCTGCTTAATTATCTTAGCTGCTCATCAATGCACCCATAGAGTCCTCATGGTACCTGGAAGGTGGGATTTATAATCACGCTACACTGCAGCTTGATAAATGCGTCACTGGCCATCCGCCTGGCCTGCAGGTGTGGTTCCAGAACCGACGTGCAAAGGAGAAGCGTCTGAAGAAGGACGCCGGGCGGCACCGCTGGGGCCAGTTCTACAAAAACGTCAAACGGAACCGGGCCGGCAAGGCGGAGAAGGAGAGCTCTGCAGAGGACGGGGGGCTCAGTGACAGCGAGCTAAGCTTCAGAGGTCAGTGTGCGATCCCCCACCCCCCACTTAGGCCCCCCCGAGGCCCTCCCCCACAGTCCTCCCAAATTCATTTGCAGTGCACGGGAGGGCCGCCCTGCGGGCTGCAGCTTCCTGCTACACGTTTTGGGGGCTCATAAACACTGCCCCTCCGGGCCTCTTTTAAAAGGAACCTTTTTATTAGAAATGAGAAGGCTGTCTTGAAAACTCTATAAAGCGGGCCAGGCTTTTAGCCGATTAGCGTGAACGCGGTCCAGGGTGTCATTTCCATCCGAACAACACTTGAGGGACTGAGCAGAAGTGTTTTGCGCCCCCTGCAGGGACTTCGGTACATGACACTTGTAAATCACAGCTCCTTCGTCAACTCCTCACTGAAGCGGGGCAGCATCTGTGGATTATGCCTACGAATGCAGCTTCAATAAAATATGCACGATTTGTATCATCACGTGATGCGTTGTGATATCCCATGATGCATCGGTTACACACCCAGCCGCCCTGCATAACCTTCCAAACGATTGTCTTTCCACTCTCTGCAGAAGATCAGATCCTGCCCGACCTGGGACACTCCAACGGGCTCTACGGGAGCGTGGGCGACGTCGGAAGCACAAGCCTCTTAAACGGGGGCTTTTCTCTGGACGGCGGCGGGCAGCCGTACCACGAGCTACGGGCAGGCAGCCCCTACGGCCTCCCCCAGTCACCGTCCTCCATCGCCTCCCTGCCCAGCCACACCCCACTCTTAGGCAGCTTGGCCTTCAACATGGACAGCTTGGTGGGGCAGGGAGCCCAAGGCGCTACGGGCCAGGCGACGCGATCCATGGCGGGGGGGCCCACCTCTGACCTCTCCACAGAGAGCAGCACGGGTTACCCAGACTTCCCCACCAGCCCCGGCTCCTGGCTGGACGAGATGGACCACTCCCAGTTTTAAAGCACGGGGCCCGGCCGCCTGGTACACGCAGTATCTGGAGGAGGGATGAGGAAACATCAAGCAGCCTTTTTTCTGTCTCCCAGACATGACATTTGCTTTTTTTAAAAAAAGGGGCAAGGAGGAGCAGGGTATGGAAACTAAAAGGAACTCCCCAGGCCCGATGCCCCCACTTAGGGCCACTGAGGACTGGAAGAGTGGGACAGCGGTCAGCGGTGGGGTTGGGGGTAGGGTGTCCTACGTACAGCAGGATGTCTGCAGACGAGAAAACCTGTCAGGTCCAACAAGAGGCCAATCAGCAGGTTTAACGCCTACCCCCAACAAAGTACTGTCTGTCAGTGATTCTGTTTCGTTCCGTTTGTTTGTTTTTTGACCATTTTACATGTATAAATTCCAGCATGGGTTCATGAGGACAGAACATAGGGTATTTCTCAAACATGTTTCAGCTCTACTAGAGCACAATCACAACAAGGCTCTCTGCATGCTTCTGGGAAGATCAGTACCGGCATCAAAGTCTCTACGGCGGCAATGCACTTTACACTCTTTTTGCACAGTGAGTAAGAGTGAGAGGCGAGTGCACAATGCAGCGTACAGAGTCACGCTGCATCACGGTAGAGTGTTAAATCACTGGAGAGAGAAAGAGATCTCAGCGTGATCCCTGACATCCACAAAGGTACCTCACGCCCCCCCCCCTGGCCGTGTAACAGTGCTTTCTGTTCTGTTCAGGCTTACGTTCAGTTATTGCTTGAAACCCCAAACGCATCTGGAGATGGTTGTGAAGTCAAAGCGTGTTCTGAGTGAGGAAGTAACTTGTGGTAGACCACGGTGTTTAGGCATGCAGGCTCTATCTTGGAGCTTAAGCGGTTTTGTTGCACTGGGGATTCTCCAGCATTCCCAGTCTCCCCTCAGAGGACTTAAAGGAGTGAGATGATTGAGTATCAGCGCCTAATAGGCCTGATTTCCAATAAAGCCAAACAGATCACAGGAGCAAAGTGCTGGCCTGGCTCACCTGATTATACCTGAACATGTCTGGTGTTGATTCCTGATACTGCGAGCATTCATCATGCTAACATGTGATCATCATGCTAACATGTGATCATCATGCTAACGTGATCCAGCCTAGCAAGGGGGTTCAGATGCTACCGTGGCTGCCCCAGTAACAAGGAAGTAACACTCGGTCTCTAAAAAGGGCTTTTCAGCTTACAGGATGTGCTTGCAGCGTGAACTCTGTATGTATGCTTTTCAAATTTCAGGTCCTGAAACTTCTGCTATGTTTTCGGTTGATCTAGAAGTCGATTGAATTAAAATGTAAGGAAAGAAGATTGTCCTTCTCATAAACTGTTACACTTGGCTGTATCTGGACTGCTCTTCCAGAAGCTTTTGTGTCAATAATATCATAATGAATTAATGCAAACAAGATAATAAGGCAGTTAATGTTGTGAATGTGATGTTACTCTAACATTTTGTAATGATTTCTACAGTCGGTTTCTGGGGACTGCAAGCTGCTTCTGAGTATAATAAGCAAGGTTTGTTTTTTTTATGAACCCTTGTGTTTTTACTATTTTTGTCAGTATCCACATGACATTTCATAACTTCATGACTTATGTGTACATAGAGGTACCTATAAAAGAACATGAAGCACTATGAGACGTACTCAGTGTAACAATTAAAAACGGAAACGACGCAAGCGAAGATGAATGGAAACCGAGGAAGGTCTGTGAGTTCAATATTTATTTGCGTTTGTTTTAATGTCAGCTGCAAACTAATGGACCCGATCTGGAAAGACGAGCCGAAACACAGCAACCCAGCTGTGACATGCAAACGGATATATAATCAAACAAAACAATATGCGTATTAAAACACTTTCTGTTCAAACTGTTATTGCCTCTAACCCCTGGGGTTTTGTTGTAAATTTTGTACAGTTTCAAAGGTGTCAAGAGTCTCATTTCATAAGCACTATTTATTGCCATGTGTCTTTGAAAAAGGATTTAAAAAGAAAGCACTGAATCTATTCGCATATGCCTTCTGTGTGACGGCATGAACTGTGTATAGCAAAATCTATATAAAGAAATAAAGTTGAATCGTCTTTGGGTTAAGTAGGCTCCGCTGTGCCGAGTTTCTTTGTTTTTTCGATGACTTTAAGACATCCATCTCGAAAATCCAACCTCTGTTGTGACGATTGCGAACGAGATTTTAAAAATAGATCTGGAAATAAATGAAGCATTATTCTACATTTAGAAATGACAAGGTGGCAGGGTGTCCACTCAGAGCCGCGCATTACTGTAGTGTTGCATAGATGTTTTCTTAATCCACTCAGGGCTAAGTAATTGAAAACCGCTGAAATGTGAATAAATGTGCTGTGTGGACACGAAAGAGGGATCTTTGCTTAAAACGGCGGAAACATGTCCGCACAAAATCATGCACAGTAAATAAAAGGCTCCGCGCCTGTCTGATGCGTAACGAGTTAAATGGATGGGCAGACGTTACCGGCGAACCCAGTTCTAACTAGGAAATAAATCATAACCGGAGACAAAATGCGGGGAATATGGCACCGCCATGCTTTCGCGATTGTTAGCACTCATTGAATTGCTTCTTTATGCAAGATTGATTTTAAGATCGTATATACAAACCTAGCAGAAATGTACCACTGCTGTACAAATATCTACAACTGAATTGCGGCTTCCGGGGTGGCCAAATGTGATCTACCCGCTTATAAAATAATGCCAGAAAACTGGGTGATTTCTTTCTGCCATTGATCAGACAAGCTTTGGCCATTAGCGGGTAACCATTAATAGCACTGGCGTGCACAGATAGAGACGAGGTGGTGCTGAAGCACTTGCCCTTTTGCCCTCAGTCCAAAAAAGTGCCCTTTTGAAAGACGTGATTTTTTTTTTTTTTAAAGCTGCGCGATTTAAAAAGGTGTGAAAATAATGGCTTGATTTGTGCCCCTTCTTCAAAGACACCCGAACCCTGTCGCTTTTTCACTGTCACCGTGTCACGTGAACACGCTTGCAGTTCATTTGTTGTGAGGCGTGTAGCAGCGGCATGACATAGGACTACTTGGAGTAGGCATAGTAGGCTAACTATAGCGACTGGGAGCCACGGCGGACAACACGGCAGCTCTTTCCCTTCCCAACCAGTCAGGTAACCCATGAATCGAGTGAAATTATTCTGTTTGCCCTCTAAGACCAACCTGCAATTGTTTTGTTGTGAAGTAGCCTGTCAGAAACTGCACATGACAAACTTTGCCAGCTTGCCCCCTCCATCCATCCATATGGATAAACAAAAAAACGACACATTTAAAATGTAACCTAAACCATTTAGGCAACCCCACTCTCCATCAATTCCGACCTTTTTGCATACACTATTGAAAATATCACGTTATGCTATAGGCTACATGCCGTTAGGCAGAGGGCTCTTTTGAGCCCATTTTTCGTTACAAATTTTAGGATGATCTCACGGAAATCTGTGAATAAATACAAAGTTTTCAAACTGAAGTCAGTGACGGGAAGACATCACACTTTTTAGAGATGGAACTGCAGAAAAACCTAAAACCTTGACATGATTATGAATAATAGAATTATGGACGTTTCTCCGTTTTTGTGGATTAGCCTTTCCATAACTAACGTCAACTACTGTCCTACTTTGGTAAGATTGAAATTAATGTCTTTGACTGTCTTTAGTAGGTGTGATTTTTGATTTTTAGAGAATGTTTTGAAATAAAAGTCAAATTGCATTTAACCTGTGCGTTTTTTTTATTATAAAAAGAAAAGGTTTTCCACATATGCAAAAAGTGCCCTTTTTTCCCCCTGGAGCACTTGCCCCCCAAAATGTCTGTGCACGCCACTGATTAATAGTACCGCATAACAAAGATAAATTGCGACAAAGACAGTTGGGATAATTTACACGCCACTTACAGCACTAGTATACAAATAAATCTGGGGAATTCCCGCACTGTTGCTTTTGCAAAGATGACAAACACAAACACAAATGGCCATTTTCATCGATCTGCGGCTTTTATTACAAACTTCCCGAATGCAACAGTAGACAATGAATTTATAAACCGATAAAGTATTAAATATAAGATGCCACTGTGAAGTAGAAATCTTATTTTTCCCTCAAATGATCTTTTTTTTTCGGCCATGCGGTATGACATGACGAATTGAAGTTCATGCAGATCGAGGCTTGCGCAGATTTTATTTTGTCAAGCAAAATTAACTTTATTTAATGTTATTTAGTTATAAGAGCAGATGATTTGAGAATAAAATCCTTGGATGACTTCCCGCGCAGAAGGGAGGCCGTGTGAATCTATGCTGCGTGTAGTTAATGGGTTGCGGGCTCTGCAAACACTTCAGACCTTAAGTAACAGCTGGCTGAAATATGGCTTCACCGTGTACAGAAGAGTATTGCTGTGCATTTCCAACCCGAGCACAGTGCCTAATGCCCATATGAGAGGTTTTCACTCTGCTTCAACTAGGGGATTTCGCTTGTCTTTGAGTACTCCGTCTAGGAATAAAGCCTCACATTAAGCTGTGCCCGATACAATAGTCAACCCCGAGAGAGGGGAGAGAGCGGCCATACTCATCCCGTTTACAAACGTCTGCCATCTGTCTCTAATGGTGTTAGGGAAACAGAGAGTGGGGGAACTTGTAAAAATGCATAAACGTTAAGTAAAGAAGGTTAAGCAATATGGGACATGATTTGAGAGGAGGCAGTGTCAGGAGTGAAGAGCTCAGGGAAAATTGAGAGCCATAATGGAAATATAATGGGCTTAGTGTCACAGCTGCGGAGACGCGCACCGGGAGCGCGCCGTCACCGGGGCTGAGCCCCTCCCGCCGGGGAAGTCAGGCATCTGAAAAAGGGAGGTGAGCGCCTTTGTGAAACATACAGACCTAACCTTTCCTGCTCAGGGAGGGAATGTATGAAGATGAATGACTATTGGCCACCAAACCATTTTGTTAAATATAACACCACACATAGGAGTTTTCGCGGGAGACAGAGAGCAGCTGACAGGTCTGTTTTGTGCGCGTTATTTAATGCTTCATATTAAGCGGGATTTTGCCGGAGGAGGATTACAGTATGTCCCCATTGTTTGGTCAGATATGCATTAGGTTCTTTAATAAGATGTAGTTAGGAGCAGAGATTTGGATTTTGAATTTTCATTTAGTGAGGGTTGCTGGATTTGTGCGTGTGTGAGAGATTGGGGGGGGGGGCTTTTACAGATCTAAAGCTGATTTGTAGGCAGCCGCATGTGCTGAGGAGCGCCTGAATATACTGTAAGTGACATAATATCTGGTACATGGAGTGATCGTAGGAGAAGAGCTTCAGGGCGGGAATGTGGGATCGTTGGGTTAGGCGGAACGCACTTTCTCTAAGTGTATTGTAGCGTCCCGAAAAATGGCCCCTCAGTTGTGCTAGATTGTCACCATGACAGCTTTCCCACTGCTGACAGCCATTACCTTTCCCGTTTTCCCATTCACTCTGGTCTCCCTGCATATTGCGTATGTGTGAGTGTGGAGCCTGAGTGGACGGTCAACCTGTCTTGGGTGTCCTTATATAGTCTCGAGTCCTGTGTTTTCTGAGATGGGCTGCTTGATTATGGTAAAAATCATAATTAGGATTATTTAACATGATTACTCATTGACTTAGGAAATATCATAAATTTATTGAACTTAAAATGTATTTTTTTAACATTTTATTTCCTTTAACTCTAAATATAATTTCACTACAGTTTAATTTATAACAAAACAAAACAGCAGCATCACTGCAAACCGAAATATGGCACAATACGTGAGTATTATGAAAATGGGACAGCTGACAAATGGGACAGTTAAGTGTTCAAGGGGCATTCATGTATTTAGTTGGGATTCAAGACATTGACATGATTTTTCCAGAAAGCAAATTTTCAAAGTGTCCTATTTTAACAATACTCACAATGCCTGTTTTATCTTTAACAATACTAGTTTTATCTTATTTTGTTTTGGTAATCATTGTAAGTCAAAATCGTAACAAATTAAAATTTGATTAATTGCTCAGCCCTCACCGCAGCTCTGACAGATAAGCAGTACTTGGAAGACCAACCTGAGCAGAAGATACCTACAAAAACATGAAAAAGATCAGGCGATGTCACTCAGCAGAACAGTCACTGTGAACCTCACTGTACATTGACGTGGGGCCCAAGCCATTTTATTAAAATGACACTTAATTTTTGGTAATTAACTGATTAATTGGAGTCATGCTGACCAAAGTCAATCAAAGTTAAGTACCATGTTTGGATTCTTGCCTACTGTACATCACTGTTCAAACAATTTAGTTCGGGCCAGAGTATTTTAATTTAATGTAATATATATATTCCATCTATCCATCTTGCAACCGCTTATCCTGGTCAGGGAGGCAGAGTATTATAAATATTTTACAAATTTAATATATTAATTGACTGAAAATAAACTGGCCAGGATAAGCTGTTGCAAGATAGATGTATGGAAACAAACCACATTAAAACATTTTAACGGTTATTTTTGTAGCCTTGCACTTGACTAGGAGATGTAGTCTCAGATGGGGCAAGGTTATGAACATAGTCCTTGTCTGTCATTCCCAAAGATTCTTTCTTATACCAGATACTAAGAAACACACACCCGCGAAACTGTCTGCAAGTTCCACGTTTATTTCCAAAGATCCATCAAGATCAGAGAACTCATCTGAATGTGATGGGGACAGTCGAGGGCACGAGTCAGAAGGTCACTGGCTAAAGCATCAGCCTTCTGCAGATTTATACATTCATATTTTACAACCCAAGGAAGCCAGGAATCAAAGCAGAGTGGCTTCCTTGTACCGGTGCTGTTAATCCAAACCTCAAGTTTGTGGTTGTCTCACATAATGTCGGCCCTAGCACTCAAATGTATATCTGGAAAAAGAAATACAAATGATAATACTTTTCAAATAACCAAGTAAAGTCAAATCATATGTATGCAGAAATCTGAAGACTGCAGCTTGGATGTCATCAAGTTTTGATCGATCAAATAAAATGTGCGTAAATCTTACTGGATGCCGGAAAGACGAGATGAACACCACCCTCAAACTCACTGATCCACTGACAAGAAAACGTCACAGTAAATTATAAATAACACCTGGGAAAGACTAAAGCCAGTGGTTGCTAAGCTAAGAGCCGAATCATATGTAAAGTCAAGATGGAGAGACCAAAAGTCCTGCCAGTCCCTGGCTACATACATTCTCATGTAAAATACTGAAGGACCAAAAGAGGCCATATTTGTGAGGTTTTTGTTTTTAATAACAATGGTAAATGCAGCCCATGGAATTATTGATCTTTCTGAAAGGGGGGCGGGTTGCTTTTCTCATGGGTAGAGGGGAGGGTTGTCTCGTAGGGGACTGACGGATGCCTTGGTCTAGCCTTTGGTAGCAGCGTACTGGCGAAGGAGAGTGGAGATGTCCTTGGAGTCTGTGACCTCTTCTGGAAGGGAGCCCTCCTGGTCTTTGATGGAGGGGTCAGCGCCGGCTTGGAGAAGCAGCTCTACGATGTCAGCAAACTCGCAGGCAGACGCTGAGGGGACCAAAAAAACCCATTAGGGACGTAATTCCACACTCAGAAAGGTGAGAGAGGGCCAGTGATGAGAAGGCAGGGGGCCCTGGGTCATGTGACCTGAGCTGCTGAAGGGCCATTGACATGTGACACATTCGCAGCAGGTGGGTTATGAAGAGAATGTCCAAAATCAGGCAGCTAACGCGGTAGTGTAAATGCATATCTAGGTTACAAGTTTCCTCTCTGCTCAGAACGAGCATTTTTATTGGCCACACACATCCAAATGAAGCATTTTTATAGCACTAGAGTTCATTTGCATTTTTACCCACGGGATGAGAGTTTCAGCTAAAGGCAAGTGCTTCCTTTTATCTGACCAAAGTCAGGTAAAAATTGGTTTAAAACCAAGTAGAGAGATACAAATAATCACACCCCCTGCTGGAGGACATAGGTTTTATCATGGTCTGGTCTATGTTGGGCCTCGCCAAGCAGATATCAGGGTCCGGCCTTCGGGGCCCGTTCCGAGCTGCTGGTAGGGTCCAGCCTTCGTGGCCCATTCCGAGCCGCTAGTATGGTCCAGCCTTCGGGGCCCGTTCCGAGCCGCTATCAGGGTCCGCCCCGCGGGGCCCGTGCAGAGTTGCTATCAGGGTTCGCTTAGCTGCCCATCTTTCATAACCGAGTTAGCGAGCCACTGCGCTGATGCGTCCAGATTCCTGCACTCTGAGTGCTTTTTCACCAGAGTGTCAATCCTCTTCATTAAAAGAAAAAACACACCCACCCCTCACTGACAGGCTGATGCTAGCAGGAATTCCTGAGCGACAGGGACGTCTTTTAATCTGCCTCCCACCAGGGGATTCCAGGTAGCCTTGAATTCATCGAAGGGTGTATGTGTGTGTGTGTGTGTGTGTGTGTGTGTGTGTGTGTGTGTGTGTGTGTGTGTGTGTGTGTGTGTGTGTGTGTACTTATGTCAGTTTCTTGATTTTTTTAAAATTGTGTTTTATTTTCTGAGCTCGGTGTGCCGGCCCGCGGCCTGTAAAAACGCCCTGGTCCTCCCCGGCCCCCTGGGAGCCCTTGAGGAGGAGAACAATTTACGGTGCACAGTAAACCTTCAATTAATCACTCGGCATCGGTGGTGGCCCCGGCACAAGAAGGGGGATGAATTCTCATTCTTCGCCGCCGCTGCCCGGACTTCATCGCTTATGTTTATGAGTCGTTTCCTCGCAGCGGCACCGCCCCGTGTGCCCGGCCCCTGCCAGCGTGCCATCCCAGCGACAGATGGCATCCTCGCTCGGGGGACACGGGCGGACCTGCCCTCGTTCTGTCCCACGGCCCCCGTGGAGGGCGGCTGATTTCCTCTGGGAGCCATGGTGGCTTTTGCGGGGGTGGGGGAGGGGTGGCGCATGGCTGTGGCCCCCAGGAGACACGGACAGACACAGACGGGACACAGGAGCCGCTGATAATGAAGCGATGCTCAGTGACATTATGCGGGCAAGGCCAGAGCTGCAGGCCGGCACTGAAGCCCAGACTCATTCGGCCTGGGAACTGACACAAACGGGCAAGAAACTGACCTGATCAGCTCAGAAACCAACACAAATGGCCAAGAAATGGACCCAATTGGGCCAGAAACCAACACAATTGGCCAGGAAACTGACCGGATCCACCTGGAAACCGACACAAATGGCCAGGAAACTGACCGGATCCACCTGGAAACCGACACAAACGGCCAGGAAACTGACCCAATCCACCTGGAAACCGACACAAACGGCCAAGAAACTGACCCGATCCACCTGGAAACAGACCGAATTAGCCAGGAAACCAACCAGAGTTGGCATGGAAACCAAGCTGGCTAGCAAAATATCGTCATGTTATATATGTCATTGATAATCAGATAATGTGTTAAATTCTTTTTTATAAAATTATAAATGATAAAAAAATCTATTATACAGGATTCTGTAATCAGACAGTGGTGCGGTTATGTATTTTCACACCACACAATCTCTGATTGTCCCTCAAAGCTGTGCCAAACACTTACCGTAGTGTAACGCTGTCTGGCCTTCATTGTCCTGAAACACAGAAACATAAAACGTGTAAATATACACCTTAACAAACAAAGCCACCGTGATTCGGGACTTATGTGAAAAGATTAAATATTGATTTACTTCCCACTAGAAAGAGCAACTGAACCTACTGAAAGGCGAGGATAGACCCCGAGTGTGGGGCGAGCGTGAAATCGCAGACATTATGGGGAAGGCACTCCCAGGCCGAGTCACGGCAGCGTGACCAATGGGATAATCAGGCCCAAAGAGGCCTCCCAGGTCTCTGGGCACAAAAAGGTGAGATGGTCTCTGTTGGGAGGGAGTCTAAGAGGATTTCCAAGAGGCCACATTGCGCAAAACAAATTACCGGAGACAGACTAAGGGGGCAGTGCGCTTCCGACGCCCCCATAGTCCAATTCAGATTGATGTCGACCCACGGAAAAGGCTGTGATGGGGGGGGGGCTGTGGTTGGGACAGGGGTCACCCAAGGCATAAATCCCATGCTAAGCTTTGGGGGGGGGGGGGGGGTCACCCCTCGTGGTGTGATACGTACATTTCATCTGGGTGTTGTCTTCTAATTACCACTTGATCACAGCTTTTCAACCCCATAATGATGACAAATGCTGATATTGTTGCTGCCGGCTGCAGCGTGAGATTTTACGAAGATTACAAAGACACGAACGGAGATCTGGGCAATCTCATTTTGGGGAGGGGGGCGGGGGGTCTCCTTTTTTGATGTCCCTCAAACCCAGACACATGAAGGTTAGATGGGAGGTTTCACCTGCGGTTGTATCCAAATCTATTTGTTGTTTTTCTGATGTGTTAACCTGGGCCACGTCGCATGGCGGGTGACCACGGTGCCCCCTCCCAGCCCCACAGATGGTACCCCACCTACTGCCAGACACACTCACCCCAGGAGCCCATTGTTCCCTGCTCACATCCCGGCAGGCACTCACAGCCACGCTTTTAAGGGGCCCGGAGAGAGATCCCGCCATTTTCCCGGAGGACGGCTTCTCGGGAAGCTGACTGATTGGATTAGAGTGTTTAATTCCCAGCGGGCGGACAGACCGCTGATGGAGATTTCATCTCTGCAGAAACCGGCCCCAGAGATCAGCCGTATAACCAGTCAGGTGTTTTCAGACTGCAGCCATTCAGAATAACAGCAAAAAAAAATCACAATGCACAGAAAACGTGTTGACTGCAATTGAACTTGCCATTGAAAAAAACATGAAAAATAATTACAAAAAACTGCTAAGTAAATAATAGTAAACTATAAGGAGCCTATTGAAATGTATCTTTTCCGTCTGGTATTTTCTTCACTTGGTTAGCAATGTAGGTCTAAGCTACATTTTCATCCGCAAACAATGTCATTGAGTCGTAATAAATAGCAAAGGTTTGGTAATGGTGCCCTGTACAGATACACCCTGCAGTGGCGTGTAGCGTGAATCAGGGGTGTCACTGCGCACTGGACAAGGGGCTTCGCCCTCATGGAAGAGCGCCAGATGTTTTCCGAAAGTAGAGAAGCGGTCAGTTTGTGATGCACGGCAACACATGCAAGCGTAATTAAACTGTGAGGGGTTTAGGGGCCTAATCTGCTTTCGCTAATCTGCGGGTCCTGGGTGGAGAGGGGGTGCATACAAAGTTATGGATCGGACAGACAGATGACAGCCACCAGACTGAGGCTACAACAGCGCCCCCTGGAGCACATCTGGAAACAAACCCCGGCTGGAACCTGGACCTGAGGAGCCCCTGGGGGGGCAGCGGATGCTCCCGGGGCTACAGGCCGAGGGGTCAGCAACTCGACCCCCCTTCTAATTCTCCAGAAAGGAACCTGATGGAATCAGTGGGAAAATTGGATTGAGTCCCATTTGGTTGTGGAGGCAAGTAGGACTGTCTGGGCAGTGGGACCCCACTCATCCCATTATGGGAACGTCTTTAGAAACATCAGAACTTTTCTGGACCCTGGAAAAAAATTACAGACCCACATGCGCTGGTAAGAGAAGCACAATGGAAAGGAGAAACCTAATTTAATGTTGAATGCAAATAATGAGACTTGGGTCCTTTCCGGACACATTAGATGTATGTGGCTAAAACGCACCACGGAGAGTGAAAGGTCACAAAACTCAACAAAGGCGGCAAGCAACAGACAGAGGTTCATGTCAGTTGTGGGACGTTTCCACAGCCGCTGTGAATACTGAAGGACCCGTAGTTGGCATGTGGTGTCCGGACCCCCTATGGACCAAATCAGTGATTTTTCGAGCTGCTATCAAAGACCAGAACTGAGACCAGTCCAGGCATTTCTAATTGATCAGTGTAGGCTACCAGAGCCTGATCCAAAGCTCAAATCTTTTTAATATCCCACGTCCGCCTCATTTGCATCAGTTGCACAGATTGCAAGGTTCCGTCACTCGCTGCAGTAAGCTGAAGATACACGGCTTGAAGCTGCAAACTATCAAGATGTCAGCCGTGTGGAAATTCTTCAAATTGGAAATTCAAAGTGCGATATGATGACACAGATGCTGCGTACTGGGAGGCATTTCTATGTGGGCCCTCGCAGCTATGCTGAACCTCAGCGGCTGGAATCCTGACAGCCGCCGGCGGGACGTCTGTCCGACACCATCCGCTACCCTCCACTCTCTCGCCCCCTTGCTTGTCCCCCGGCAGAAAGCGGACAATCGATTATGACTGATGATCAATGCATACAGCTGCAGCCGACTCTATTATAATGACAATGGGGGGCTACAGGAGGGAGATCGACAAGCTACTGGCCGATTCATATGCAGATGCGCTTATGATGAGCAGATGCCACCGAGCAGACAGCGGGAGATTAATTAGCATGGAGGTGTTTTGGAGGCTGGCCGCTCTACGCACCTGCCAGGACCTGAGCATGATGAGAGAGTGGCTGATACTGGCCGTCACAACAAAGGCACCCCACAAAAGAGGGCCGCCACGGTCCCCCACACCACAGCCATCATCCAATCCCCGCTCTCCCCCGACTAACCATGGTAGTGGCCGGTTCCATAATGCGATTCCCCGCAGGGCCGGTCCACATGGACAGATGTGGGAGGGGGTATATGGTGTTAAAATGATCAGAGAAGAGGCACGGCCCTAATTGAATGTGAGACGGCCGCCAGTGAACTTCAAGGACACCTTGGGAATGTCTGAGTGGCACCCCCCAGCTGTCTACTGCGCGTCCTACCTGTCGCCCCACAAATAGCCATAAGGCCACTTCCTTATTTAATGGGGAAATTCCAACTTACAAGCTTACTCCGACAGGTGCTTTTGGGATAACAGCCCACCCCCACCGTACTGTTATAAGCCACTGTCACAGTACACTGTCACACAGCCCCATCACATCATACGGTCACGCTGCACCATCATGCCACACTGTACAGTCACACTGCACTGTCACGCCACATTGCCACAGAGCACCGTCACATGGCACTGTCTCACCCCAGTGTCACGGGGCTGCATCACATCATGCTGTCACACTGCACCATCACATGGCACTGTCACAGAACACCATTACATCGCACTGTCACCCTGCACTGCCAAATGGTACTATCACACCGCTCCGTCATACCACACTGTCACGCCTCCCCATCATACGGTACTGTCACACTGCAACATCAAGCAGCACTGTCACAACACACTGTCACGTGTCACCGACACACTGCATTGTCATGCTGCACTGTAATGCCATGCCGTCACGNCACACTGCATTGTCATGCTGCACTGTAATGCCATGCCGTCACGAGATACTGTCACACCACACCGTCACGCGGTACTGTTACACGGTATCATCATGCTTCACTGTAACACACATCACAGTGCACCGTCGCACCATATTGTCACACGGCACTGTCACTCAGCACCATCACCCAGCACTGTCACACTACACCAACATGTGGCACTGTCACACGGCATAGTTACACCACAATCATCCGCTTGGTTTTGTGTCACGAGGGGGGCGCCCCCAGAAATAAAAAAAAGAAACAAAAAAGTCAGGCATCCCCAGGTCCTCACTACACTCACTCACTCAATCTCTCCCTCCCTCCCTCTCTCCTTCCATTGCTCTATCCATCTCTGGGGACCCCTCAGGATCCATTAAGTAATTTAACGTGGGAAAATAAAATAACAGCGGCTCCAAACTGTGCAGCTCATCAGTGATGTTTAAAAAGAAATATATAAAATAAATAAACACATCAAGAGGTGTAATATGAAAATCAATGGGCCAGACGAGGCTAAAGTGTTTGCAGACGGGGATCCATAAAGAAGCAGGGTGGGCTGTGGAGCCGGAACGGTCAGTGTGCTGCCCGCGAGGCGGGGCTGACAGCTTTAAGGAGAAGGTGTAGGGAGGACAGACAGTAAAACGAAACAAATAAAAGGGTGAGAGAGTACACTGGCAGCCGGGGAGAATTAGCGGGATAACAGGAGGGCCTCCACGCTCAGCAAGCAGGTGCGGGCAGACAGACGGGCATCGTGGTCCTAACTGAGGCAGACCCGGGCACTGAGCACATTAGACTGACCAAAAAATTAGTTTCACTGTAATCCAGTGCAGGTGTTCAGACCCCCAACCATTTGGAGAGGGCCACAAACTCAGCTCACTGGTGATGGATTCACCCCTAATGAAGAGGCCTAATTTTTACAAGGTCGGGTTACTCCAACATCCCCACCAACGTCGAGGTAGATGGTGGAGTTCTAGGTGGCCCTGCCACGCAGCCGGAGATGGGGGTCACCTGGGACCTCTCGTCATGCAGCTGGCAACAGGACCTCCACCCCCCAGGACTCATGACAAATACCGCGAGATATTTGTTATGACTGAGATGACTGGGCCATTTATTATGAGGCTTTGCTAGGAAGGATACTAAGCAGAGAGCGTAGTAACACGGCCACCTCTGAATTTCAATCAGCTGCTCTTCTTTCTTTATACAAGCATGTATACATAAACACACAGACAGACAGTATCCAAATCTTTGTGGGGACCGTTCATTCACTTCTACGGGAAAATCCCCAATACCAGCAATGACAACCATAACCCCAACCCAGCCCTAACATTAACGATAAGTAACCAAACAAAATACAAGACTTTTGGCATTTTTACATTTTTGACGGCAGTCACAGATTTTAATAAAATACAATTTCTCCCTGTGGGGACCGAAAAAATGGTCCTCAATATCGAAACAGGTTTTTATCACACTGGGGGGGACATTTTATTCCCCACAATATAGTATATATTATATATGTTTTATATATATTATATACATATATATACACACACATATACAGACACACAAACACTAGTTTTACAGCTTGGGGGGGAGGGGGGGGGGCAGATGGAAACCGACAGGATTCATCGTGTTCATATGTGACTTTTAATGACAGCAGTCGAAAAACGCAGATATTTTCGTCTGCTTTTCATGTGGTTGACACAACATATTTCCCGACGTGCGCTCTCTGTCCACTGGTGGGAGTGTGCTCACCTGTATGTGCGCGCATCGGGACGGAACTCCGCCATGCGCGATACAGAAAGCACAGGAGGATTGTAAACGCGTTATCGTGTAGACACAAAAATGACAAGCTGTTGTGTAAATAAGATAAATAACATGTAAAATAACATACAAATAAAATATTTAGTTTGTTTAATAAAAGGACAATGTATAGACCTGATCTATAGGAAAGGTAACCTTAACTGACTTCTGTTGTGATCTGGCACTTTATAGAAAATAAAATTAAATAAAATTAACTTGACCTTCAAGGGGGGGTGGGAGGTGCAGGACACCCCCCTAATATAATGGTAGGGGATATAAAAAAAAAAAAAAGCAAAAGTAAGCTTGGACTGTCTTCAGAAGCCTTTCTGCAGGAGCATCCTGCTGTCAAATTAAGGAGTAATGACGCTCTGAATCCAGCCTATTTTGGCCGGTCTATGTCCAAGCATCGTCTGCATCGGGCCCAAACAAAACACTTCAGAGTCACGCAGCCGCTCTTAAGCGAATCCTCGAACCGCTGCCGGCTTAGAGCACAGTATGCAGACGCTGGTCACCCAGATGTATGATACACCAAACTGAGAAACAAGATAGCGAAATAACTCTGATCGTCCGCGCCCAGTGCACCTACAGACACGCTTCAGACCGGCTTCGCGCCTCGAGCTTCTGCCGCACGGCCAAAAACGCCCTCCAAGGCGACACCTCTCCCCGTCAGGCATCCCCAAACTACACCAGTACCCTGTGGGGTGGGGACCCAGCCTCTGTCCCACACAATTTGTCACCATGAACTACTGGTAGCCCGGCCCGATATTTATTACTATTGATCTACCTGGTCCCAGCCAGAGGACTGTTGTTCTCCGGCACAAGACTCTGACCTCAATTAAGTTATGAATTTCAATCTGATAGACTGTGGGCGCTCTCGGCCGCCGCTCCCGGGCCCCGCAGCGGATTAATTAGAATTAGTGACGTCGCAGTCACCCACTCAGCCTCATGGATCATGCTGTTTTAATAAAAAATAAAGAGCCATCGGCAAGGGATGGGGTGGGGGGACATTTCAGGAAAGCCTCACCCATCCCCACCCCCCACAAGAACTGAATTTAGTACCTGCCAGTGTCAATTGCAGCCTTACCCAGTTTATGCCCCTTTACCCCCCTCCCCAGTCCATGCTTGGTACGATCCGGTCGCCAGGCATTTTGCTCTGCTGGCCTTTCGAAGGCGTTCAGAAGCAAAATATCACTCAATCTGCAAACTCAAGAACTAGATGGCTGGATGGAACATCTGAAGCTGGAGAACCTCGGATACAGGCTAGTGCTGCCCCGTCTGCAAGCTACGGGACAAGCGTGAATGGACGACTGACCGCAGAGCAACTGACAAGGCGACTGTCAAACCATGTTAAAGAAACCAGACTTCTGGCCAATAAGAAAAACTGGGTGGGCCTTTCAGCTGTCGCCCCCCACACCCCAGAGTCACAATTATGCTCAGCTGGGCAAACAAAACCTAACATTTTAAGTTACATGAAACTGCTAGCTATAAAAGTGTACGCTGGAAAAGTGAATACATTTCATAGATTTTAATAATCATAAATTACCCTGATGCGCCTGAGTAGGTCTCCCTGCAGGAGCAAGTGCAGTAAAATGACTTTTGTCTTGATTTAGTGTCTACAGGGATCATCGTTTCATCATCATTACTGACCTGACGTCCTCAGCTCGCCTATGTACATCTTTCTTGGGGGCAACACCAGACCGGTCAGCGGTAATGGGGAGGGCAGGTGACCCCCCTGGAGGGGTTATGAGTGGGCCGAACGAGACCAGGGGCATCTAGGTCCCCCAGCCCTGTGCGCCGTCCCTTCGACAGCTGGTGAAGAGTTTGATCTGTATATCCATGACGGTGGGACCCTATTGTAGCCCATCCTGATCCGGGATTACAGTTGATGTGTAAGTGAATGAAAGAGTCAGCAATAGAGTTTATGGGGCTGGACAAATCAGTAAAACAAACAATCAGTTGATTAATTCAAATAATTTTCTAATATAAATGGGGGAGGTCAATGTTTAATCAACAAATTAAAAATAAATCACCATTATTCACTGACAGTTGGTAGGGTCAATGTAGATTATGAATCTGATGGTACCCACAATGCAATGCAGCCCCACCCCATGCCCTTCACCAAGGAGACCGGCTGCATTTTTGATGCCCTAGTATCAGAATGTTTTTTTTGCTCTTATTTTCCTAATATTACTTGATATAGTCTGAAAAAGCAGAGCAACACATTTAAGAAGAAATATTCATTCAGATTTCGGGACTCTGTACCGATTAAACTAACATTCAATAAATACAGAGCTGATGGTGCCGCTCCTCATGTGACGGACCCAGACCTGCTACCTGGTTAATAAGTACAGCCCCCACCCCACCCCACCCCACCCCACCTGCTTCTTCACATGCAGATCAAGAGAGAATTATGGGAGACATACCCAACCTCACGGCTACCCAGGAATCCTTGCATCTTACAGATTCCGCCATTGTGATTTTGATTTACCTGTAGCTCAGTTTGAGTTACAGGCAAGTTTGCAGTTTGTAATTAGAGGAGAGAAACTCTGATATATGAATACAGGCGATTTGGTAAAAATTTACTACTGAAGTCCTGCTAGTACTATTCTTAAGATCCAGTGTTTGTTTAACTCGAACACAACTAATAAAGTCACGCAAACAAGACTCGCATGCCAGTCATACTACAGTAAAATTTTCAATCTCCAAAATGGAGGGGGGGGGGCACCTGAGGATTACCCCCTTTTTAAAGTCTGTCAGGCGGTTAATTGAAACGTGCAAAAAAATAGCAGGACTTAACGTTTCAAGAACTTAATGACAAACCTTCATAGTCTATTGGTTACCGGCATGGCGGGCGCATACCAATAACCATAATGACAGGCGAGATCGGCATTTAGGGGGATTAATGAATACACATTGTCCTTCCATATCAAATAGCTGAAGTTAATTGCGTTAAATTTCAAAAAGAATATAATAATGCATAGAAAATTCCAGGCCAGGCAGTCCCTGACGTTCATCCGTGGGGGAGGAAAAGGAGGTTTATGACCACAAAAATGAAAGTGATTTGTAAATGTTCTGATTATTCCGCTTGTATAATGCACACAATTTGCCTGATTACTTCCAATTGATTCGTCTTACTCCGAAACAGCAAAGCACAGCTATGGCTCTGTAACCCGCAGTATTCACCCCCCCCCCCAAGTGCCTTTTGGCCAGATTTAGATACAGTCGAATCCTGTAAACCTGAGAGGCAGGATTGACCTGCTTCAGGATCTCACTGAGAGTGACGAGACTCATCAATAACCTACAAAAAAATACTTTCCCCATAAGACAGTTTCTCGATGCAAACACACAGCGCTTACTGGCCTCATACAGGAACCATAAACAGATTTCCCATTGCGGCGCTGAGGTTGAACCTAGGATGAAATGTCACAAACAACATCCCAGTAACGCCTTTCATTGTTTCAAGAACTAGTTAATACATCAGTAGTGCAGGTAAAATAATCCAATCATGCGTACGGCGCCGCCCCCACCCCATCTGAACCGCTGGACCTTTACCCTTTGACCCCGGTGGAGAGCGTATGACTCACCTGGCTGTTGATGTCTGCCTTGTTCTTCAGGAGTATGGCCACCAGCTCCTTGTGTCCCCGATCGCAGGCCCAGTGCAGCAGGGCCCGGCCCTGAAAGACGCCCGGAGGACACTCCTTACATTAAATCATGTTTAACGGCCAAACTGAGAGGCTGCAGTTCATTGTTATTAAAAACGTACACAGATTTGAAAAATGTTAAATTTATAAAATGCTGTAATTTATGAACACCTGTATTTCAACAGGATCCGGTAATTATGCATTTTTGGGAATAACACTGAATTCGTCCAAACCATATAAAATTTGCGGCGCACATTTGACTTTGTGCCATGATCCCCATTCTTCTTAGAAACATTGTAAGCTCTGATACGGCCGGACTTGGCCCAGGTTCGGCACTGTGCTGAATTTACCGGTCTGACCTGAAGAGCCAGGCCAGCGGTGGTCAGTGGGCCTGACAGAGGCCCCCCCCCCGGTGAGGCATTGGGCTACCGCTCGCTCCTCACCTCCAGCAGATCAATTTGCTGCCTCCCCATTATGCAGAACTCCATAAAGTTAACTTCACAATAGATTCCTGCTTAAGAAACAATAAATTATGCGCATCAATTTATAACGTAGAGGCCTCTGGATCACAGAAGTATAACAATGTGGTGACAGCGGGAACGCTCTGCTGGACATCCACGGGCCGCTGCTGCCCGGGGGGGCTTTCCGAGGGGTCCGAGAGACTCGCGGCAGACCCCCTCGCCCTGATTGATGGAACGTTCCCCCGTCCTTCCGCATGCAGAACCTCTCTTCTGCAGCTTAAAAATCCACCAACCGGGGACATAATTTTTCACTCTGTTCCAATTAAGTAAAGCCAACTGCTTAAGCTCAGTTCTACAGCTTAAATTGTATCGATCGGCTGTGCTGCATGTTCGGATTGATACGGATTGCAGGCCCCTACCGAAGGTGGTCCGTCGCATTTTCATCACTGAAAATATTCCTTATCATTGGACCTGCAAGGATTTTATATGTGAAACACAACGCTGGAGTATTAAGATGCGAGGATAATGTTTAAAGAAAACACACATACACACACACACAGACCTGTGCTCATATCTTTGTGGGGACCGACCATTCATTTCTATGGGCAAAACCCTAATCCCAACAATGACAACCTTAACTCCTACCCAGCACTAACCTTAACCATAAGTCACCAAAGTCTTTTGGAATTTTTACTTTTTCGATTGCAGTCACAGATTTTTATAAAACTGAATTTCCCCTTGTGGGGACCAAAAAAAATGGTCACAACATCAAAATAACCAAATGTCCCCACAAAGTAATGTATATCTGACTTACACACACACACACAGAGCTCTATTAAACATGCTATTTTTGTTTTGTTGTCCTTTCTGTTACATACCCTGTGTCAGGACAGCTGTTGGTCTCCATTACTAATATAGAATAAGCAGTTATTAAACATGGATGGATGGGATTTATATTGCATTAGTACTGAAACAGTTAAAATGAAATGAAAATGGAAGTTCAGACTAGAGGTTTTCAGCCTGGAGTCTATGGAGCAGCTGCAGGGCAGACTGTAAAAATGCTTCAGAAATCGAACAAATGCGGGTATTAACAGCCGGTGTACGCATCACTAAGATATCCAAGGGGAACTCCCCTTTGGTAGGGGGTCCCCAGCCGGTCTGTTTTGATAAGAACTGCTGCAGTGTCCTGCTTCAGCCCAGCATCCCCGACTGATGTCCGGCCGAGGTTCTGCCCCCGCACCCCGCCTTGCACTATAGAGTGTGCACCTTGGAACTGGGTTCTGCCCCCGCACCGCGCCTTGCACTATAGAGTGTGCACCTTGGAACTGGGAACGGCAAATGAAACAGGAAAAGGTGAATAAAACAGAAATACGGTCAAAAGTTGCTGTTTGGCAGGGAGTGCGCCGCCTTTTAATGTTTCCTCAGATGAAACGAGTGGAAACGGCCCTTGGAAGGAAGCCCGAAGATCTCAGCCTCCCCGCAGCCTTTTTGCAATCGAATTGCCAGGAAAGCGGGGCTCTTAAAAGCCCCCCTGCCCCCCCGGCCAGGGTGCCGCAGGGGATTAGCAGCTTCAAGGCGGCACCGACGAGCGGCTGCCGTGCGCCGGACACCGTCGCCCTCGTCCCCAGGCTTCAGGGAGAGGGGGCCTATTGGTCAAATTGGCACTAATTGACAGGAAGATTCTGCCAGGGGACAGAAGTGCACAAAGACAGACAGGAGCAGAGTGAAGAGGCTGCAGGACGTGGGGTGTCAGGGTGATACACAGGGGTGTCACTGCGGGCTGGTGCGAATCACACCCTCAGCCAGGGAACCCGACTTGCCCATTACAAAGGGCACAGAACCAAATATCAACCGATCATAAGTTAAACCATCATTACTCTGCACGCTGCCTTTCACCTGGACTTCTAAATATGCCATGATTTCAACTGGGACCATCGGGTCAGATTAAAGATTGACCTCTATCTTTAATCTGACCCTACGGTCCCACATGGATGGCTGAAGGTGGGTCTTTGCTGATATCCTCGCCCCCCCCCGCAAGTGCTGGCAGCCAAGAGCGCCTTGATCTATTATTATCCTTATGATGGTTTTCCCATTTCACTCAGGGCGAACTGTACAGTAGCGGCTAACGCGGTTGGCCTCGAGAGTGGGAGTCACCCCCAGGGGCCAAAGGTCACACAGAAGCTCACATCATGCAGAATTGAAGTCTAAAGCGGGCCACTGATGAAAACATCTACTCACCGTCCCTGCGCTAGACAGTCCAGCGAGCTATATGGCAAGCCTTACACGTCACTTAATGATATACATGATGTTGACTTTTCGGTCCCAAAAGGCTTTGAAGTTCATTGCCCGCAGTAATTCATTCACTTAGGATTTACACAGGTGATCTCCATATGATATAAAGAACCTGCCAACAGGGTCCATGTGTCCAAGGAGGACCACTGAGGTCATTAGCTCACTGCCGGGAAATTTATTAAGCGGTACCATGGCGACTCAGGTGAAGATGCCGCTTGGATGAACATGTCACCACACCACTCTTAGGAAGACCGCGTCTTTTACTGTGATGTAACATGGTAGCCAACCAATGTCTAGGTAAATGAAGACAAACACGCATCAGGGCTGACCTGAACGTAAGGATTGCATGCTTGCATCACACCCCTCGTCGAGCTGAGCAGACATGTGAATGCAACTTGGATGTTCTTTCTCCATCAATCTTGCATGACCTCACTCTGAAGCAAACAGTGGCTTCTCCAGAAAGCAAGGCTAAACATTCACAGGAAATTGCACGAAAACTGGTGCACATCCAGATACTGGTGAATCCTAATTACAGGAGATCCCTTCATCGCACCCTATACTAGAAACACTAGAGATTATCTAAGAAGATTGATAGCTGAAATCCCATTTATAGTTTAGTTCCATGGCAAAGACATATGAAAAATTATTCACTACATAGATGTGCGAACACAGTTATTTGAAGGTGCTAAAAATGATTTTTAGAACCACAACCAATATCCCCTTGAACTTTTTGGTGTAATAAATCATTACATTTTAATGCAATAAAATGGATATTTCCCCTCTGATCTACACAATATGTTCCGGTGTAAACGGGAATTTGGGCCAAGAGAAAAAAAAAGCCTATTTGACCATAACGCCTTGGAAATATCTTGACTGACTGTTATATTGATATAAAACATAAATTACCTCTAGGGCGACAAACTGTTTTCTTGCTTCATACAGTTAGCTGTAGTCTGTCTGTCTGTCTGAGTAACAGATCACAGAAGACACAGCATAACAGTCACACCCACGACCAGTGTAGTTAAGCACATGGTAATGATCAACTAACTGCAGGCTCTCTCAAAACACTCCATGCAGGAGTCCAAAAAACATTTTACAGCTGAAAGAGTTTCTTTAATGGCGAAACACAAAACTGGCCTGGGTGACAGATGGGGGAAGGAGAAACAGGTGCTTAATAGATACAGATTCACCTTCTAGAAGGATATCGACCCAAAAAGCCCATCTGAAGAGACACTGGAGCAGTAAAGCCCGGATTGTACTATGGATCAGTACTGGCCGACAATCACTGCTCAGCCAGAGTGAATTACGCTCCATTTACCAACTTGCTGGGTGTTTTTTTCTGACAAACACATTTCGTTTTTATTTCCCCTTAAGTGTTATTTCACTGTAAATTATGTCTCATCAAGTGTTGAGTATTTAAATAGCCTTTTAAATGCATTAAACTTCAAATTGTGACATAAACAGTGCAGTGGGGGGGGGTACTTGATGTACCTGCGATTTTTTGATGTTGTATATGGTTCAAGGACACATCAGGGGGGTCTCTGCTGTCACTTGAACCGGCAACCTCTTACACACTCAGTTGGGCTGCACACGCACTAAGCGTTATTGGTTTGCCCTACTCAAGAACGAGGTGGCAGGCTGCCCTGTCACACACGGCCTGAACACACAGAAGAGAGGCACTGTTAGCGGGGAATGGCCCAACGCTGACAGAAAACCAGTCAAAGGTTCACTTCTGCCCTCTGATGGCCAGACCACTGCACTGCACCGGTCTATAACAAAATTGAAACCACAATGTCAGCCTTTGTCCCTGTTCTCGCTACACCAGGTAACCAGTCAACAAATGAATGGTTTGATTAAACGGAGAGTGAAAACTGGATGTTGTGGAACCCAAGACATGTTTTGGGAAATGAGGCATCAAAGGTGAAGACTTCAACGACCACAGTCAGCTGCCAAAGGTGGATCTTCTGTACAAACCTTCCTTTACTGGCTATACCCTAATATTAAGAACACAATTATCTTAATTTTATCCTTCATTAATTGATGAATGTTCACAAATATGACTTGTGTACACCGCTGTTATCTAGAGCACTACAGCATGTAGCATTCTGGACAGACGGGACACTTTTGTACCCACTTCTTCATCCTTGGCGTTGACGTCCACCGCGTTGGATGTCAGTGCCCCAGTGACGTGCTCGATGTTGTTCTCCCTGCAGTAATCAAATATGTTCTTGTCTTCTTCCCTTGGGGGAGAAATTCAAGAAAAAGACAGAGGATGTTAAACAGAAATGCTACAGGTCATGTGACGCCGGTTCTTCCTGGCTAGGTGGGTAACAACAGCCTAGTTACACATCTGGAATGTAAACGTCCCATTCATGCAAGAGAGAGGTACACTGTACTGCGCACAGGTTTGTCATGCCAGGGTGTGCCGCGTGTGGTTGGCAAAGACATATGAAAAATTATTCACTATTTGGCACTAATTGACAGGAAGATTCTGCCAGGGGACAGAAGTGCACAAAGACAGACAGGAGCAGAGTGAAGAGGCTGCAGGACGTGGGGTGTCAGGGTGATACACAGGGGCTACACAGCTATTAAAGGAGATTTTTACCCGAGCAAGGACCACAACCAACATCCCCTTGAAATGCTGACGTAGATCGCGGCCCACATGGCTGAAGCCAACAGCATGCAGCCTTTATACGTAAAGCAGCAGGACTGGGTATGAAGAATGCGGTGTGTGTGTAATACACTAAGTGCAGCATACAGAAACATTCACTGTTAATGAGAGCTGGCACACTGTACACATGCAGAGTCTGGGCGCTGAGGTTGGGGATGCTCTGCATCCATACTGGCGCCCTCCCAGCAGAGCGCAGGCTGTACAGGTGAGCGGGATGGGAATGTGCCGTCTGTGTCAGGAGAGCCCAAGAGGATCCGTCTCCGTCTCCGTCCCCCCCCCAGCTGTCCTTGGGGAGCCAGCCCCATGCCACACAAGCTCTAATTATATCCTGACTGTAATCACTTCTTGGCACTGGGGGGTGGACCAGACAGGGAGAAACGGGGGGAGGTCTTATTTAGCAAAGCCTAAGTGTATGCCACCCCCCCAACCAACCAACCAACCACCCCACCAACCCGGCTCAGGCTGACAGGACACTGGCCGACACCTGAGCCCATGAGTGGGTGTAGAATGTAATAGAATTGGGACACTTCATTCATCCCAGAGTCAGAATTGGGTATTTTTCACATATTTTCCATCCTGCTCTCCATGAGAGACAGTCAGGCATATGTACGGGTGACAGTGAGTTTTGGGGTCATGAAACAGGTCAGCCAGTATCCCTGGAGCAGGTGGGATTAAGGGCCTTACTGAAAGGCTCAACAGCGATATGATCACTCCGCCCGCTATGGGATTTGAACCCATGACCTTCCGGGCATTTGCAGAGATCCCTAACCCTCTTACTGCATGGTGCTATACACACACACACATAGAAAAATATATATTAATTTACTGAGGGCCAGCTTTCATATGTCTCGCAGTGATACCAGTCACTGCAGGCATGTCACTCTGGGTTACCATTAAGGCCTGAAAGCTTCATGGAGGGACCCTGGACATCAGGACAGATCACAACATCTCTTCTGCTTTTCTAAATAGTTCTGCCCATTAGATCGATGTTGTCCACGTAACCCGCGCCGTTTGACGATTCTCTGAACAAGGCATGCCCCCTCCCCCTCTCCAGGTGACGTGTGATGACCCTGCCACGTCGGCATCATACGTCTTCTGGAACAACTAATCGATTGCAGGGCTCATCACTCAGGCCGCGGTCACGCGCATGGCTCCGCCCACCTCTGCCGGGCCAGTCAGCTGACAGGCAGGGCCGCGATTAATGCGACGGCTGACGAATGGCACCTGCCACTGCCGTGCAGCATTCTGGGAAGGTCACTGGGTACTCCATCACCCTGACCTACTGCACAAGCACTGGGGCACTGGTGCACTCTGGTGTTTTTGGGTGCACCAGTGAATCAACAGCATGTGAGACTCCTGATGCTCTGCAAAATCACTCAGAGGAGTTTAAAGACAAGACTGACATTAGAACTGAAGGTGTGTGAATTGTAGGATAATATTTTATTTTAAGAGTGGTGTAACAGCACCATCATCCGATATTCTGTGCTTAGGGCAGGTTCTTTGGGCCTAGAACACGGCTCAGTTTCCCTTATAACGGGGCCTAATCCACTGGCCTCTGCGTCATAGTCCCTGAATTACAACCCAAATGCAATCCACCGCCGTGTCTTCTGCTGGGGGGGTGGGTCATTCTTCTCTAGCTGAACACGAGACCACACTGGTTTTGACAAACACTCAATCTGGGCCACAATCACTCTCATACATGGCACAATTTCTACAGGCACGTCAGGTTAAATAAAATGACCACCTCTCTTCAATTGAACACCAGACACTGCAGCCTCTGAAGCTGCACAGCAAAGGCTAGACCCCACGCTTTGTTCTGGGAGAACTGTTTGTTCTCGGCTCACACTGATATATATTCTATACATATCCTTAGCGGAACAATAAATGAGCAATTATACTTCCAAAGCCAGGTGCTCAACAGATGATTTTCTTTTTTTTTTTTTTAATATGGAGGAGGATTCTCCATATCAAGCGGAAAATTGAAATTCAGTGAACCAGTCAGGCAGGCGGGCAGGCAGGCGGGCCCAGGAAGGGCTGAGTGCCAGAATGGAACGGCAAGCGTGCGCTAATTGCTTTGCCGACATTCCCAGAAGGCAGCGGGGCTCCCTTGTTCAAACTGACTTGGATTCATTTGATCCAGGAGGTACAAAAAAACCCCATGTCGTATCTGTAATTTTAAAGTCGGATTCTACAGATAAATGACAAAAATCTGCAATAAATAACAACAACAGAGACCCAAACACAGCTCGGGGCAGCAGCTGCCCAGTGACATCATGATGGGAGGGAAGCCAGCCTTGCGTCACGCCGTGACATCGCTGCACAGTCACCTGATCGTCTCCTCCTGGTACAGCGAGCTGACCGCCGGACCCCCGAATCCCGTCCTGGGCTCCTTTCCCCGTCTGTCCAGAGCCTGGGGCAGAGAAAAGGTGCGATTAGGAGGATGTCGTTCTTCACACCCCCCCGTGAGGTGTCCAGGCGGATAGGCGCCTTCTCTCCCAAACAAACCCCCCAGCCCCGAACCCGACAGCCAAGGAACATAAGTATGACCCCACATGCTTCCAGCATGTGAAACTGCTGCACCAAGGTAATAAAACTGTATGAGCAGTAAAGGACAGCAGCCAACAGAAAAGCATGGGGTTTAATCTAACAGTGCGGGCTGAAGTGTGCAGACATTCAGTGTCAACCAGGACACAGAGGACGTGCCCAGAAAATCGGTTTGCATTCATCTCACTCAATTACATATAGTGTGATATGTATTAAACCATATCCACATTTTTCTCTTGCTGTTTTTCATCCAAAATCACTAAGAGCCAACAAAATGAAGTGTATATCAATATAATGCAGCTCTCTCTGACGCCCTTTCACCCCACCACAGAAATCATCTAAGACTTAAAAATGCAATGACCGCTCACTATTCATAACACAGCCCTTTTCTGAGAGAGAATCAATTTCCTTTGTGCACCAGTTTGAGAGTTATGTATATGGATAATATTCTACTCGGTGGCTCCATTCTGTAAATGAAGGATTGCAGTATCGCCTCTACTTTTTCTGCGGTCACCGCAAATATTTCCCTTTTTAACATGTTTTAGAAGCACACACACTCTTGCATTAATACCCCCTCTCCCGCTTCCCGTTACCCACGAAAGGACGGCGAAAACCGTCGTGTTTTCAATGCGGGTGGAAGCTGACGATTCGAGTACTTTTTGAAGTGTAATTCTCTTTTCTATAGGGCACTTTGTGTTATTGAAGCGCTGCGTAGCGGCCAGCGACACGGGGGGATGGCTGGGCGGCCCATTATTCCCACGTCCGCTCCTTAACCGCGTTTCCCCACACAGTGACGGGCTTTGTTAACGCTGACGCATGATTTTATTTCTTTTTATTCTTTTAAACCCGAAGCGTCCACTGGCTGCTTGATAGGCACTGACAGGTGCATTGTGGGATATGCTGGAGGCCAGGGACGGACCAGAGACACCCGATCTGACAGGCTTTTATGCCGCGGAACCCAACGTCACTCTTATTCATGGCAAGGACGCGAGCCCCCCCCAAACAATAACCTATAAAAAAAAATCTGTATCTCCATCGTGTACCTTCTGTCAGTTAAAAAGAAACACTAAAGAACAGGGGACGCTGAATCATATTCCCTTGGTGGCCATTCTAATACACTGCTGTAAACTCAATCTGTCTGCGCCAATCAAACCAATATTAAAGGATTTTAAATTGAAAGATAACACTAACATCTGAGCAGAAGACTATTACTTAAAAAGTGTCTTTTATATTTTAACCTCAATACTATTACTACTGCTGCTACTACTACAACTACTAAATAATAATAATAATAATAATAATGATAATAAAGCTATGGTGTAATAAACCCACTTTAAAAGTTAATTTAATGGATGATATATTGTAATTTAAAGTGATTTATTTTACTTGCTTGGTGCTTTTACCCAACTTACATTTTATATCCATTTATAGGCCAGGATATTTTACAGTAGGATTCAGGCTGAGTCCCTTAGCACAGCATAGAGCTCAGCAATGAACCTGTATCGTTCTGTGCATTTACATCACTGCTTGCTGCATTCAGACATTAACTCTCCCAATATGGTCTGCCCCTGCAGGTTTTTTTTTTTTTTTTTTATAATCCATTAATGTTCTTTACCATTTAATACCATATTTATGCATATTTTTTTTTGTCAGGGTTGCTCCTTTGCCGTGTTGCTTCTTTCATTACACTCCGAGTGCCGAGCGTCCCAGGGGAGGGGGGTTCCTATCAGCTGTGAGAGTGCCCCCCCCCCTTCCCGAAAGACATGCCATTGTAATTGGGTCTCATTTAGCGAATGACAGACTCCCCGGCCGCCCTGCGCCCAGGCACGCACGCGCTCCCTGACGCGCGTCACGCGCCCCAAACCCAAATCCATCACCTCCACAGGCAGGCGTCCTCCACGTTTACTTAACACACCGTCTGTTGACCGTCTGATTATCCGGTTCCCTCTGGTCGGACCACAGTTTCAAGTTTGATTTGTTACATGCACTTTACATCTGCGCATTGACATGCCTTTCAGCTGCTATCAGAATTGCGCTAAACAGGAAATGTGTAATACGCAGAATAAAATAACGAAACCAACATACAAACATTTTTAAAACAACATATAAAGAGAAGTGGGGAAAAACAAAAATTATAATCAACATGTGCTGATGTAGGACCATCGTGTATTTTAAATTAGAACTAGACTATGTGAAAAATACATAACGATTTTATATATAACAATCGTGTCGATTCTTCTCACGAACCCGTATTTGTGTAAGTGGAAAGCGGTGAGGGATGTGCAGATAACTATACGGGAAACGCTAATTATATTTGACATGCCCTAATCGGTCTGTATGCAGGGAATTACAGTCATTTAGACTCTGAACATTAACAGGAAGGCTAAAAAAGAAACCGCGCCTGACACCTGGGAAAACCTCTGGGAGACGCCGAAAGAATCTCCGGAGATAACATAGACTAAAATAAAAAATGTGGACGCAAAGACCTCAGTGCTGCTTAGTGTCTCACTGCCCCCTGCTGGTGAGTATGGTAATGTTTTAAATTATGGATCCGAACTACAAAGCTTTGCTCTGGCAGGGCCTCTTAAATACTTTTAATTAGCAGAATATGTTTTTAAGCAGCACTGCACGAGGAGGCTTCTCACCTTATTGCTGCTGTCCGGGTCCAGCCCCTGCACACACAGCACATACTCCTGCATGGCCTGAGTCGCACTCATGTCCCCGAGCTGCTTCCATGCCTGCCTGCAGGGGGCGACACACAGCGGGGAGGGTGTCACTTCGCTGCCACACTGCGCCCTTTAGGGTAAGAATTAACCCAACATGCTTTATGTTTATTTGTAACTCCGATAAATAGCTTAAACTTCAGATTTCGCTATGGAGCATAAGGAATTCCACATGCCTGTGTTGATGACAAGGCATGTAATGTCACGTAATCTGTCCTGACTGGCAAAGAGTAACGCAATCAAAAGTGTCACTTCTAAATTCTCTCAGGAAAGGCCCCTGAACGCCATCCAAGTACCACACAAAAATACTCATTTAGTGATATTTACTGGATTTCTAAAAAGTTCATATAGTAACTGGGCTACTGGTTAGATCACCTCAGCTTCGTGAAATAATCTTCTGAATATTACACGTCTTTCTACAGCAGAAGACGGGTGTGAATCAGAACGAAATCTGCAGCCCTGATACTGATACAGACATTATGACATGATATTACAGAAATCCTTTGGAAGACTAGGTTGCCACCAGCAGTGGAAAGTTCAGGTCCAGAAAGTACAAATCCAGACCAAGATTTTATTACAACCAAGCAGTTGAGTATAAAGAATCACATTCACAGAGTAATCAAGTGGTTGATTGGAAAAGAACCTGAACTTGCCACCTCTGGTGGCCACAACCTAAACTTATCAAACTATGGATGATATGTTTAAAGTTTGCAATAAGTTTATGTTTGCACTGTGGCAGATAGGAGTTTAATCCACACTCATTCTCCATGACTTTTAGTTCCAGAAAGAGACTCCAGATCACTAGGAATAGATAACTAGACAAGTGCTAACTGAGAATGGATTATGGATTAAGTCAGCTGGAGGTTGAATTAGGTAAGTGCTCCCGCTGGTGACATTTCTCCATGGCGGCCAGCCACACCAAAACCTTCTATCTATCCAACCAATCAATCATCTAAGCCAACACCTTGGTGACTCACCCGGGGAGCCCGATTCCCGCCCCCAGTGCAACACATTATGGAATTCTGTTGGTTAACACTTTCATTTACAAAGCTCTAATAAAATGAGTTTACTTAGGTATTTTCCAAGGAAAAGAAAAACAGATGAGGTAGGTACACAGAGCAAGCATTTAGTTAGGTGGGGGGGCCAACAACACATCTCTCTGCTGGCTCCTGTACCCCATCCACACACTCAACCCGCTTACACATCCCTATTTTGCCGCTTTGGTGCCGTGTGGGAATGGGAACAGCAGGCTACCAGATAATCTAACCCCCGGCAACCTAGTAACTTTACCGGTAACTTTCTGACATGGTTCCAGTGCGAATGCGAAACTGTAACAGATTACCGTGTTCCAGAAGGATGGGGGAGGGGCGTCTCCCCCTTTATTCACTGCACTGACAACCCCCTTACTTTACCGTCATGGAAGACTGAGTGGAAACGAGAATTTATTATACATCCTGTGTTGTTTTTACCTGATACATACATCTGGATGTGAAAAGGGGTCACACACCAGGAGAGACTCACTTCCCACAGCACACCCGCTAAGTTTGACTGAGTCACACACACAGTTAGGCTGTGTGCAGTGCAGTTAGGCTGAGTCACACACACAGTTAGGCTGTGTGCAGTGCAGTTAGGCTGAGTCACACACACAGTTAGGCTGTGTGCAGTGTAGTTAGGCTGAGTCACACACACAGTTAGGCTGTGTGCAGTGCAGTTTGACTGAGTCACACACACAGTTAGGCTGTGTGCAGTGCAGTTAGGCTGAGTCACACACAGTTAGCCTGTGTGCAGTGCAGTTAGGCTGAGTCACACACACAGTTAGCCTAACTGCACTGCACACAGCCTAAGTCACACACACAGTTAGGCTGTTATGTTGCTGAGTGAAGCAATGGAGACGGGAAAACTGTTGAGGACTTAATGAGTAACAGCAAAAAAAAAGTAACGTCACTGAAAAATAACTAGCCTATATTAATTCATATAATTATTAAGTGTCTAGTATGTAAAAATTTTATTACAACTGTGACTTAAATATCAACTAGCTGATCGCATGATGAACTGATTATTAAAGTAATCGTTTTTTTGCAGCTCTATCGAGAAATATACAAAGAAACCTACATGAAACGGCTAATTCATTTTGAACACAAACTTTCAATGGCACATAAATGACAGTAAAACACAGTGACTGGAGGACTCACCACTTCTTCTGCCCTTCAAAATCAAAGAATCCTGGCTTCGGTGTATTGCATTTCCCGACCTTTACCTTAAAAAATAGAATAAAATCAACACTATAGACCGTTGTAGCAAATAAAAAATCCAAAAGGAAGTTAGATCACTAAACAGCCTGTTAATTTACTTAAAATACTAAATAAATTGAGGTCATCCAAAACTAAAGCTAAATACTTCTGAAGAATTTCAAATCATTCTACTTTACCACAGCTAAACTTCTGCCAGTATTCTCCAGCAGCCATTTTTCCCTTGTCAAAATGTGTCCATCATCATCTTCATCATCATCATCATCGTGCTTCTCCTCATGAGTGTCATGGTTGCAGCATGCTGAGCAGGTCAGAGCAGACCTCCCTTACCAAGGCCACAGACTATCTCATTCTGGGGGATCCCCAGGAGTCCCTAAGCCAGCTGGGTTATATAAGCCCTCCTGGGTGTCCAGGGTCTCCCCAGGGCCTCCGCCCAGTGGGGGTGTCTGGAACAGCTCCCCTGGGAGCCAGCATCCTTATAAGATGGCCGACCCACCTTGGCTGACTCCTCTCGATCTAAGGGAGCAGCTATTTTGAAGTCCCTTTCATTCTCTGAACTCCTCACCCTGTCACGGGACATGAGCGCAGTCACCCTGTGGAGAAACCTCATTTTGGCCAGTTGTACTCATGACCTTGTTCTGTAGTTCATTACCCACAGCTCATGAGCAAAGGGAAGAGCAGGGTAAGCAATTCACCCCTCGCATCACCCACCCCAGGGCTCCTCAGTGCCCACAAAACTGTCGTCACCGACACGACGTGGCTTCCAGTCTCACACTCCCTCTCAGCATCACCCAATGTGCTTTATCTCCTTCACTAAGGGCAGACTCTCCCCCTTCAGTAAACATAATAAATTAAATGCAATAAATGGAACTCTAGGGGACAACTGTGTTTTAAGGTACAGATTAACTCTTTTTGGTAATATATAATTACAACAGATTTTTTTTTCTATTTTGTCTTTTTAAATCAGGGAACATTTCTAGGAAAGAAGCTGTGCTAAGCACTTAACTCAGTGGAAATAATCAGCAGCGATAATTCATAGTTATTTTTTAAGTTTATAATTGATATACAACGCATACAAAGCAATCAATTTTCTGACTATGCAGAGGTAAGAAAATAAATTAATTAATTAAAATCAATGATTTTATTACAACCAAAAAACCAAATAGTCTCCGAAACTGCTGTGTCTAAACATGACACGGATTCCATCCCGAATAACGTCACTGAGTTACACAACCGTATGAGGCGACAGACTCGTTAATCCACCTTTATGTAAACCCCTTACACATCTTCGGCACTGAGATAATCTTGATCGAAACCAGACAAATACTACTTGGTGCCTGGCCGAAAATGACAACCGCATTAATGCAGGCAGTTGCAGCCATAGCCTATGGAGTACTGCAGTAGACATTTGTACTGCTGTCACAGAAGGGTGTTAATGGACGTTTATTGCTTATGTATTTTTAAACATTGGGATTACCTATAGGCCTATCACATCTAGCAGCCTACCTATACATAGACTAACCTATTATCAATGACACTGTAACACTATTTTAATGTCAAAGCAGCAATGCACACTGATATAAATATATTTTCTTGGGAATGCTGCCTCCTACAACAAAATGTGAAGTATTCGATGCAACTAAAGTTTAAAGGTTGGGAACTATGCCCGAAAAAGTAAATAATAGTTAGACTTTATTCCCAGGTTGCCCAATACAAATTGGAAAAAAACAAGAAAACAGAGGTTACGTCCCTGTTATACACATACATTTTTTCAAAGTCACGTAACAGTACGTAAGCAAGGCATGTTTAAACTGACAAAACAATGTTTTGGGGAAATACCTATATTTGCTACCGTTAAAAAATATTATAGGACTATTTAAGGTGAACTGAATGCAATATGCAAAGAATACGATGCCAGGTGATCCGGCGGCCGTTCCATACCTGCTTGTACCTGGCGTACAGGTACAGTAGCTGATCCCGACTCGCCGTCTGTAAAAGACCCGGTACTCGATCGGCTGCTGCTTCAAATTCTTCCTCTAGCTCCTCCCCTTCCAACCGATGTCCCAGACCCACAGCCCCACAATCTAGGTCCCTCAGCCCCATGTCAGAATCAGAATCCGATCCCCCTCCGAGCGGCTCCCCAGTGTCGGGCCGAGCGGGATCGGTACCTGAGCCTGTGGCGGAGTCAGGGGAAGACGATGGCGACCGGGAAGCCATGTTCTTAGATTATATTTTCTGTTGTATATTTAATGATCAAAATTAAATTCCTTTCTGTACGATAATACTGAATTCTGCTGCCTCGAGGTACTGTTCGGTTAGCAATTTGTGAGATATACTTCCCCGTAACACTCCCCACTAGGCTCTGCTGTAGTCGGAATTTAAACTACAATGGTCCGTCTGTGGTACGCTTCTCTAAATCGCCCGGCCTACAACTTAGACTGAAAGGAAAGAGCCCGGACAACAGCACGCAATATTTTTCCATAGCCTATTTTTTAAAATATATTTATTGTACATGAAAAGTATTGTAGAAATTAATTGAAGACATATTTCTAATTCAATTCAGTAATATTTAATATTCCATCTTTTTTGCAATAATATTTATTTGACCTTTACAACTTTCTGTGGGTTTTCTGCAATCTATGAAGACCATAAGAAATAGGCCTACCCTCTTGTGGCATTGTGCTCCATTAATTTATAAAAATGTACTGCACGAGTTAGACTTTCTTAACCCATCCATCCATCCATCCATCCATCCAGGGTCTCAACTTTGCCAAAAGCATATCCAAAGAAGTACAGGGCTCTCTAGGTATTTATATTATATTAAGGAGAAGTGGGATTGCAAACAATGATATGATGTTTATATAAAGTCGTATGTCTAACTAAATAATTTTCACAACATTTGGTAAATGTAGGCCTAATGTAATCAGTTACTTAGAGACACTGACTAAGATAAGCATTTTGAAAAAGGATGGATGGACATTTGATCTGTTATGTCCCAGTAGGTCTACGGTGTTATGAAATATGCATATGAATACGTTTAAGTTTAATACCCCCACTACTAGCTCACCATGAGCACTGCCATTTTGTTAAGGAAGAAAATGGCTCCCAATGTTGTGTCCAAAGGCTGTATAAGCAGAGCAGCAGGTCTTGTTCACTGTTCAGTTCTGTGATGCAGGTCATGCTGTTTTTTTCTGATACCAGTAATATTCTTAGTCTTGGTCTTTTATTGCAAGCTTCTGCTTGCACTCTCTTTGTCTTGGTTAATTTTTTTCTGAATTGTGTCTATGTTTTCTGCTGTTTTTTCTTGATTAGAAAAAGTCAGTCAGATTCCCAGTGCCCCCTATTTCCCAGTTAATGCCTTATAATTCCTGTCCCTTGGGCAGTTTCAGCCACATTCTTTCATCAATCCTGAGCATTCCAGTCCTTCTTCTTTATATCTCATTCTGGACATGTCCACCCAGATAAAAATCCCAGTTTGAAGGGCAGTGTGTGACTCAGTGGGTAGGATGCTGTGTTTGTGATGAGTAGGGTGCCACTTCAAATCCTATAGTTGGCAGGTGATGTCACCATTGGGACCTTGAGCGAGGCCCTTAACCCCAATTGCTCCAGGAAGGGGCTGACCCTGATTTCTCAAATGGAATTGGCTTTGGAGAAAAGCAACATGCTTAATCAGTAAATGTAAGTCTCAGGACCCACAGGTTTCCTGCTTCCTCCGGTGTCTTTTCCAGAGACTGTTTTACAGTTGGGTAGGGCAGCTTGATTCAGGGTGATACATTTTAATCATATGTTGAGTTAATAAAATGAGTTACACTGACTTCTGAAGCAAAAAGGATGGCCTGCTTTTGGAAGCAATATTGTTACCCACACTTGATTTAATTTCTTTTGTTAAAGGCAGTATGAACTTAGAACTAACTAAAAGAACTGAATATATATTGAAGAAACTTTTGAAATAAGTAGCAGCATTTTAATTCAACACATCTGTAAAGCCCTTGAGTGGCATGGTGGTCCAGTGGTTAGTACTGTCGTCTCAATCCTCTGGGACCAGGGTTTGAGTCTCCACCTTGGCTCCATGTGTGTGCAGTTTGCAGGTTTCCCCCCGTGGGGTTTTCTCTGGGTGCTCCAGTTTCCCCTAACAGTCCAAAAACATGCAGAGGTTAATTGGAGTTGCCAAATTGCCTGTAGGTGTGAATGTGCCCTGTGATGGGTTGGTGCCCCATCCTGGGTTGTTCCCTTCCTTGTGCCCATAGATTCTGCACCCCCTTGACTCTGAATAGGATAAGTGTTTTCCGAAAATGGATGGATGGATGTGAAACACTTCCAGGTGGATTGTGGGGGGAAAACTGGGGAGTTTGTGCAAGTTGTAATTCACAATATGTACAGCAGGTGGTGATATTTACGAAGGTTTATTTCACTGAAGATTTCAGCGAAAGTAGCACTGAAAATATCAGACAGTCGGCGTTAGCTAGCAATCTATGTGCATGTTGAGATTGCAGGTCAGCAGAATTCAATGTAATATGCACTGTCCACGTTTAAATACATCAAAGAAAGAAAGAAAACACCAGATGACAACATGGGAGAGGAGAAACAGAAAATGGGCCTGCTTTTATAATCAAGGACTGAGGTCACGGTTTAATAATTTCTGTGGCGTTTGCTGTTTGTAGTTGAGCTAGACCATCCAGGTGAGCGGCTTTAGCAAAATGACAAAAAATGAACAACAAAATTAACATTTTACAACAAAGGAAAGCAATGAAATAACTGCTTTGAAAAGAGCCATTCTGCTATATTAAAACACTAAGGCACTGGCATGCCCCCTCCATCCTCTCCAAACATGCACTTAGAAAAGTAGGTGTCATCCTGCATTTTTATGATGTTACAGAAGATTATTTATTTTTAAGAAGTACAAACAATGCCTTTATAAATATGAAAATATGCATGTCTATTCTGAATAAATATAGAATATGCTTTATGGTCTTCCAGGGCTTGTCAATCCTATAAGCATGATAGGCAGCCACCTAGGGCACCACCTTCTGAGGGGGCGCCGACTTGCCAGCCTATTTCACTTTGCCACAAGTGGGGGGCGCTGGCAGTGATGCTTGCCTAGGTACTGCTGTATTTCAAATATTTTTAACTGTCAGACCGCTAGGAGCGCTGTTGTATTTATAAATGTTTACTCTTGCTTAATCGAGCGTCTGGTAGACCGCGTCTCAGCGTCGTTAAACGGGCCAGACTTTAACTAAGGCTGTGTTATTTAATCTAACTCTCAATTATCGATATGTGTGTGTGTGTTGGTCAGATATACATTACATTGTGGGGACAGTTGGTCCCTACAGTGTGATAAAAGCATGTTATTTCGATGCTGTGGGGACCATTTTTTAAATTAAATTAGTTTTTTATTAAAATCTATCAAAAAACTAAAAATGCCAAAAGACTTGTATTTTGTTTGGTTACTTATGGTTAAGATTAGGGTTGGGTAGGGGTTAAGGTCGTTATACTCATGGAAATTAGTGTGTATGTATGTGTGTGATGTGGGGTACTGTTTCCAAAATTAAAGATAAACAATAAAAAACAGGTATCTGATTCAGCAGTTAATGTTTGACAGTGGTCTCGGGATTTAGTCGAAGGGTGTTGGCAGTGTGGGCAGATTCAGGTATATTCAGATTATGCTGGAAATATTATCTTTCGCATTGTCATTCTCAGCAGTGATGGTGCCAATATTATATTTAAGCGATTTGAAGTATGTGTGGAAACTTTTATAACATTAAGGAAAATTCCACTTATAACAATTCAAGCAAAAGAAACACGAGTTTTTTTTTGGCGAATAATGACTTTATTTCTGACCACCTCATGACGTAATTCTATTTTGGTTATTAAATAACGGTTATCTCTGTTGTTCCGAATTTCTTAAAACAATGGGTGTGGCTATGTAGTCACACAATATTTATGTTTCACCTTAAGCAAGGTACGGAATTTAATTTTGTACATAAAATATTATACAATTTCTTTCTATATGAAAAATCTAGGGTAGGCTAAAACAAGTCTGTGTACAAGAAGACTTAAATGTTTCACTAGTAGATCCTGTTCATGATCACTATCAATCATCAAAGATAGTCACTTGTGGACAATGTAAACAAAAACAGTCAAGTTTTTATTCGTCTGTAAAATGATATGCTTTGAATAAACTGCTTTTTGCTTATTAAATTGCAGTGTGTTTGTTATTTTGTTGCCCGATCTTGCCAGCGCCGATGGGATCTCGGGGAAGGCGGTGTTAAAGTGTGTCTGAGCCGTGACGCAGCGGCTGTTTACGGGATACGATGGCGGTCGGTGTCCCCACCACTAAGAGACAGACGACTTGCAGGGACGGATCGGCAGATCAGCTGTGCCCGTACCGTTACAGTGCCATATAGCGGTGTGATCGGGGGGAGCGTCCTGTTGTACGTGCATTTTAAACGTCCTCATAACCCGTGAAATAATATGCGGGACGGGGAGCACCGTAACCGGGACGATAACGAGTCAGGCAACGATCACTACTGTTAAAGCACCGAGGCATCCGCCGCCACAGTAATCATCTTGCCCGAAATAACCAGAGAGCGACCGGGGCCACGGATTAAACAAGGCGAAGAGTAAGGATGAAATTCGCGGAGCACCTCTCGGCTCATATCACTCCGGAGTGGAGGAAGCAGTACATCCAGTATGAGGTAAATGTTAGAAGAGGCTACGGATGGACACCGTGCGAGAAAAGCGTGCGCTACAGCGGCTTGATCATAAGTACGATCGGCGGCAGTTGTCTGCGCACATTGACAGGACACTGATTGCGCTGTGACGGTGGAAATGCGGCTTTGAGAGATTTATTAAAGTAATGCGTATGTGAAGGCAGGGTGAGATTTCTGTGCAGCCTGACTAAGAGCAGATCGGAGCAGTTGTCCGAAGTGCAGCCTGCCAGCCTCCGGACCCCGACGGTTCCCTGCAGAATAGGTCGTTTGCATGCTATAGGACCGCTAAACAGTGTTTAGGGGTTTGTCAACATGATCGCCCATTGTTTGATATACATATAAGTTCTGCTATTAATTCAGGACAGATTATGTTACAACAAGGTTTTTTTTTGTCTTTTTGTTTGTCTGGTTCATACACGAGTTTACGCTTATAGATTAATTTGGACTAGTGGGTTCTTATAAAAGTCATTTTTATAAAATGTCATTTGTAATAGTTGTGCAAATTGTGATTCACTCAGATTTAATTAGTTTAAGCTTATCCGAAGAAGCTTTTGTCCGTTTCATCAATAATACTGATGGATCATATTTTTAAATTTCCAAGTCAGTCCATGAATTTCGCCCTTTAATTGCATCAATGTTAGTGTTTTATCGCCATATAAACCACCTTTTAAAGTGAATTCACGATTATAGAAATGTATTGTAACTTTTTATGACTGCATATAGCGTTACCTTTTCTTTTCTTTTGTTAATGGAATTATTGTTATTAGCAAGCTTAATATTGATTTTTTTTCCCCCCACTTCAAGTACTTACTGTACGTTATATAGGCGTTTTATTCTAGTCAGTTAAAGTAATTTCAAAATCTAGATGTATTTCTGTTATTATGATTGACTAAACCTTGGGTCTGATTAAATCGTCTTCTCTATTACAGTGGATGTATGAAAGCATCAAAGCAGAAACATGATTGTATTTTTTTTATCACCGCAATCCAAATTATTAATACCTTTGACATACCTAAGTTAAGCAGGATCTCTTATTTAATTTTTTTTCCTCTTATTTTTTTTTTTTACAGTATCTCTCAATAGGGAAACTAATGCACGGTTTGAGATTTTACATTTATTCTGTATGAGTTATTTTAGGTCCATTACAGAGTCTTTGTGATTCGTTTTTGTGTTTCTCCATTTTGGCGCGAGATATACATGAGCCCTGGTTGTTTTACTGAAGCACATAAAATGCTATGTGCATGTTATTATTATTATTATTATTATTATTATTACTACTATTATTATTATTATTATTATTATTATTATTATTAATAGTACTGAGTATTGAGGGACAAAGGAGGGACGTTGCATGTGAGGCTTCTTTACAAAGGATGGCTTCTTTGATTCCTCCATTTCCAGGTATCTCTGACACTTACCTGGGCTGTTATCACTTTAATTTAATTGAGGACGATATCGGCGAGGACGTTAAATTTAATAATTTATATAATGCCTCCTTTGTTTATGGTTAGCTCTCAGTCTAAGTGAAAGTTTGCATATAATTAATATAATCTGCTTATATTAAGTTATTAATCCAAGCTGTAATATGCAAGTGGATTCCAATAAAAATATCAGTGCTGATAACTGTTTGTTAAAGATCAGCCTTCAGGTGAAATGCAAGGATTCAGTGGCTGTCCTCAGTCCTGCCGCTTTGTGCCACGAGATGAGGAATGCCAAGCGAAACAGGACGCTAGCAGCACAGGTGTAATCTGCTTGATATTTGATAATTTCATTATCATGATAATCATGAACAGTTGAGCCATTGAACACACACCTGTTCTGATTCTTTTTTCTTTTTAATCACTCTGGAGACATTTTTGTAAAGTGTAAAAATGGTCTGTTCTGGGATTGTCTGGTGTTTAGCCTTTTTTTGTGTATTTTATTTAGGTAAAAAATACCCTTCAGTAGCTTTCTTGTGTTCAGCAATGGCAGCAGTGAGGGTTGTGTGATCTGCACTCCGGGGCAGGCAGGGAGAATCGAAACTTTCTTAGATCCCGCAGTGTCTGCAGTGTCTGCAGTGTCTGCAGTGTGTGCAGTGTGTGCAGTGTGTGCAGACAGAGCACAATGAGAGGCAGCGTGTACGAGGTGCTGATGTGAATTTGACAGGACAGTGACACGCGTGCGGACCTGGGTCAGGCTGTGAAGGACCACTGACACCCCCACACCCCCCCCCCCCCCCACACACACAGCCCCCCCTCCAGTACCCCACACTGCTCCACTGGGAGGCTCGACTAATTAAAACCCTGCATAACTGACTTAGCGACCCTGTGGGATCTGGTCACACCCGCCACACCCGAGCAGTGGAAGATACACCTCGCTGGGCCACTGTACAGCGAACGCAGTGGAGACAAGATGAGGCGTCGCAGAGGTTACTCACCAACATGTAACCCAACAGTGCTCATGATGGATATCACGCATACTGAAGATATTCACGGTGCTCATACATCACACATCTGCATCACCCGAACAAGCACGGGTTGATGTGAATTGATGGACAAGGGTCACATAGGTATGAACGAGCAACGAAAGGCGAGGAAAGCCTCCATAAATAAACAGCTCCCTAGCTTCCGTCTTTCTTTAAAGGCTTTAAGGAGTTTGTCAATACCTGCAACCTGTAAGTGGCCCCTACTTCTCAGTCTGTCGTCTGCTGCCCATAAATGGTTTTTAGATAAATGGCAGGACGGAATCCGCGGTTTTAAACAATAACCATATGGATGCTAAAATGGGGCACGGTCTGGTGGTGGGGGGGGGGGGGGGGGGGGGGGGGGGGGGGGCGCAGGTGTGGAGGTTTGGCGCAAAGTCGAGCAGGTGATTAGATTGCGATTAGTCAGGTTATTATGCCGGTGAAGACACCCAGCGCGGTGGTCTGGACTGATGCATTGAGGCTGGCAGCCCCCCAACTCCCGAGACCCGGGTCTGGGGATGCTGGAGCCCGCTGCCCACAGGGAGGACACTCTCATCTGCCTCAGAGGCCACGTTGCTCAGCCTTCGCCCTTCAGCAGAAGCCGATGTGGGGGTTGGGGAGGGGGGCAGACCTGGGGGGTCTGCGTGAGGGCTTTGTGTGGTCGCCGTGGGCCCCTAATTACCCACTGCCCCGGGGCGTCAGGCGTGCGCACGCATGCCGACTCCCGCTTTACATCTACATGATGTAGACACTCTGCTCTGGGATGGCAGCTCACGCTTCGGCACTGAGTGATCAGCGCTGCCCCCGTCACACAGACTGTCACTGCTGAGGTGTTATGAGGCGAAAGAAACAAAAGCAAACTGCAGAGCCACTGTGACGGTCCCAAAGACTGCGGAGTTACTACACCCTCTTTAGAAACCAGCCCGCCTCTTAATGGCCTCCTTTCATCGCTCTTGGTGTCCTTAGGGTCTAGGGATGCTGTGATGACCAGTCTGCTAGGGACCATAAAATGGAGTCAGATCCCATGGCGAGCAAATCGCCTGGACAGACAGTAAAACCTAAGGCCTGTGAAGCCAAATGTCATTTGTGTTTATTGAAAACCAGAGAGACAACTGGGAAGGAAGGTCCTTGGCCTATTGGGAATGTTTAAACGTGATAGATTGATCTTTGCATAAAGGTCTGGAGGGGGTGTGTCTCCATTAACTATAAACACCCCCCCCCCCCCCCCCCCGCGGACCCAGTGTCACTGTACATGATGACACATCATTGGGGAACTAGGAACGGCTACTGTGGCATTTCTGTGTTACACATGTGCACTAGTGGCCAAAATTGTGGAAACACCTAGCATTTTTGGTATTATGCATAAATAATTACTGCACGAATATTGGCGGAAATGTTTATAAGCACTCAAAGAATGTTATAAATATCATATACTGGATGATTAAAGAAGTAACTAGAGTAACTGGGATAAAGTTCTACGATCTCTAAAAACTGGAAGTGTTTCACAATTTTGACCTCTAGTTTAAGTGAAGAACCAAAACTGTATTGCAGTCTCAAGCCTGATTTGGGTCTCAGGAAAGGGCTATGAGGGCAGGAGGAGGCTGAGCGCAGCTAGTGGGAACACAGACGCGAGGCGGGGGGGGGGGGCTTCTCACGTGCGTCATTGTTTTGTGGCAGGACAAAAGCCCCATTATTGTCAACCAGGACCCTGCGGACCTTTTGCTGTAATTCATTACAGTGTCCAAAAGCAGGTCACGTTCCCCAAGTAAACACAAGAACGCCAGTGTCCCAGTGTGATGGGAACCAATTTTATGTGTAACATTTTTTAAAAATAATAACCACTCAATCTTTTGACTCCATTTAATGGGGGTGGTCCTGTTAGCTGGAAAAGTTCTCTCTTATTCTTATTTTGGTCAATAATTTCTTTCCCTTGATTTCGCTCTTGATCCCCCCGCAATACAAATACAAGGGGTTCCAAATTATTGCGGAAGTGACATATCAGTAACCTTTTCTGCACAATACAAAATTACTATGATCTTCTTGTTTTTTGTTCATTTTCATGCCTCATGAAATGATAAAGGATTATTATAGAACGTTTTAGCCAGCAAATGAATCTTAGGAAAAGCACAGCGGCAAAAAAATCCACTGTTGGGCAGCAAATAAATTTTGAAAGTAATGGTGTCCCTGAAATTCCAGAACATCTCAATGCAGGATCGTCCAGAGAAGTGTTTCTGATCCGGTCCCTGCGAACCCCCAGACGGTCCATGTTTTTGTCCATGTTCTGGACTGTCTGGCAGGGAGCCAGACTGGGAAACGCTGTTCCAGTGGCTGGCGGCTGTGTGTAGACCGACGTTTCAGTCGCCCCTCCCCAAGGCTGAAAGAGAAGCATGGGCAATGGGCTCAGACATATGACAAGTGATTCTCAAACAGCGACCATGCTGATGAATGCTGGACTACACTGGAGGGTCCTGCTGGAAACATTTGTGTACAAAAAACAGCTTTAAGAGGCAAATGCAGCAGCTTCTAAAGAAATATGGGCAGATACTGTACATGCACTCACCATTTCAATGAATGAGAGAGTTGCCAAAGTAATTTCAAACAAGGGTTTATACATTAACATGTAACTATGTCTCTTTCTTAAAGCAACAAATACAACACATTTCTGTTTAGAGTCATTTATGATATTGAATGTTCAAAAACGGCTATCTACATAATAACGTGGAACAAAGTATTTCTTTCAGAATATATTAAAACTGTTGCTATTGTCAGGCATTGTTCCGTTCTGTTTACATCTACATTCAAGAAGCATTTTTGACAATAAAAAGTACCTAGAGTAAATGCTTTTTAGAATAAACCAAAATGGCATTTGCATCACATGAAAAATGGTGTGACAATGCAGACTTTATTTTGAGTTTGAGTCATATAAAGAAAAACGTGTTTGAAGATGTGTGACATTATTCTGTGACCCTGACCAGGATTAGCAGACGGGTGGCTGAATTGATGGATATATGGAAATATTGTCAAAATTTTAAATGCATTTAATACCAAAAGTCACTGGACATGCATGTCTGCGTTCTGTTTTTGAATATGCTGTACCAGAGCAGTATAAGCACATATAAAAAAATGAAGCACATTTACCCCAGTTTCCCTTTTGTTTATGTCAGTGGAGGGTGGGTGCAGGAGTTCACTGCTTTTCACAGTATTGCAGTTATTAATTGCTTTGTTGCAGCTGTTATTATGAGAGGACCTGCTTCACCTGCTGGCCCAGGTGTAAATCATCTGGCAACCGGAAGTTAACCCAAAAACCTTGCGGACACTGTAGGCCTACATGGACAACAGCGCCCCCCCTCCCCCAGCGAGGCCATTTGCAGAGATAACAGCGGAGATGTTTTATACGCTAATAAAAACAAGCATCATGATGAATAGCTGCAGTTAAAGCCGTTCCTGTGGTCGGCAATGAGGGCCTGTGTTCCTTATATAGACGTCCAGCGAGCAGATAGGCTGAGGACATGGCACACCCCCACCCCTTCCCCCCATCCCGCTGGGACGGCATCTGCTCCCCCTCGACCCCCCCGCTGTCTGGGCGGATCTCCTCCGGCCGCCTGGGAAACGAGCTGACGGGAGTCCGCCAGGACAGGCAGAAGGCACAGGGTGCCGGGCGAGCCAACGGAGGGTGGGGCCTCGCACCCGAACCGTGACGTGGTTTGCCTTTTCAGTGGCAAAAAGCTAAAAATTGCCACGCCGATGCCTCCCTTCTCTGGTGCCCGCTATTACCATGGCGATGTCTCGATTCTGCTCAGATGCATCATTGCCATGGCGATGTGGCCATTCCGCTGAGGTGCTGATGACAGCTCAATCATGCCGTCATCCCCCCTCCTCAATCATGCCATTACCCCCCCCCCCCTTTCCTTAATCTGGAGACTAGCTGGTGTATTAATCAGGGTGTGGGCCGTGTACTATGTGTGCGGTCACTGGAAGGAAGAGCCTTTTTATCTTAAGGAATATTCCATGTGGAAAGTGCAGCCTGGGCTTCTGGCTGGTCCCTGAGGAAAGCTCTCCTGTCCTCCACCCCAGAAGCAGCTGTATTCCTTCAGAATTAAGCCCTTTCAATCTGACTGGGGTTTCAGCATCCAGGCTACCTTGTGTCCCAGATTTAACTTGTTTGTCCCAAATTGTTCCAGATTGTTCATGTGATGACAACCAGTTTTCTTAGTACTATTTTTGTTGTTGTTGCTGTTATTATTGTTCTCCAAAGTCTAGTGATGGGGAAATTATGCTTCCAAACCAACTATTTTCAGTAATCCTCTGTCTGGGTTCTGTAGGTCTAAATGGGTCTGTGATTGGCGGCGCCCAGCGATCCCCCCTACTCCTTGTCTGAAAGCCTCATTTGTCTCATCACTGCCTTAAACCTGACAATTCATGATTTGCACTTTACTATCTCCATTGCAAGTTTGATTCTACGTTTGCTAGTTCACAATATAAATTATTCAACAGCGGCTATCTCATGATACATAGAAACAGCTTCTAGACTTGGACATGATGACTTTCTATCTTATATTATGGGTGTTTTGTGGGTCAGCAGTGTACACTGGTGGCGGGCTTGACCCAGCCTAGATTGAGCTGTCTGCTTGTACCCCTTAGATCTGTCTGCCTCTTCTGTGTACACCTTTTAAACATTAGCGTGCATTCCCTTTAAGGATGTGTGTGTACACCCTTTAAGAATGGGTGTGTACACCTTTTAAGGATGAGTGTGCATGCCGTTTAAGGATGAGTGTGCACACCCTTTAAGAATGAGTATGCATGCCCATTAAGGATGAGTGTACATGGCCTTTTAGGTTGAGTGTGTATACCCTTTAAGGATGAGTGTGTACACCCTCTAAAGATGAGTGTGCAATCCATTTAAGGATGAGTGTGCATGCCCTTTTAGGATGAGTGAGCATGGCGTTTAAGGATGAGTGTGCATGCCATTTAAGGATGAGTGTGTACAACCTTTAAGGATGAGTGTGCAAGCCCTTTAAGGATGAGTGTGCAAGCCCTTTAAGGATGAGTGTGCATGGCGCTTAAGGATGAGTGTGCATGCCATTTAAGGATGAATGTGTACACCCTTTAAGGATGAGTGTGCATGCCCCTATAGGATGAGTGTGTATGGCCTTTAAGGTTGAGTGTGTATACCCTTTAAGGATGAGTGTGTACACCCATTAAGGATGAGTGTGTACACCCATTAAGGATGAGTGTGCAAGGCCTTTAAGGATGAGTGTGCATACCCTTTAGGGATGAGTGTGCATGGCCCTTAAGGATGAGTATGCAAGCCCTTTAAGGATGAGTGTGTATGCTATTTAAAGATGAGTGTGTGTAATGGGCTTTCTCACACATGTTAAGGAGAGATCCCGTATTTCCCGTCTCTGTGTGTTAATCCACTGAAATCAGATCCTGTCTTCTCTCTCAGGCATTCAAGGAGATGCTGTATGCGGCCCAGGACCAGGCCCCCTCCATAGAAGGTATGGACCCCCACCCCCACAAGCATGCACACACCCTAGCCCAGTGCCCACACAGGATTCATGGCGCGTCATGCTGTGTTGGTCTATGGGCCCCCGGAATAAACTGTCGCTAAATATAGCAGGAATGGCCCCCCACCCCATGCCAGTGACCGTGCTCAGCCCCCGGCTATAATTACTGCTCTATGGCGGGATGGTGATACCCAGGCCAACGCGATTCCCACGCCTCAACCTGTGACAAGTTTAACCGAGACATGCCTATGGGTGTTTATTCAAGCTTTTATTGTCTGTAAATGTGAGAGCTGGTCTGCTAAGGCTGTTTACCTGATGCTATGTGGTCTGGCATCATGTTATCTTCCTCGTTGTTTGCCATACACTGTTGTGGAGACAGAAAAATATTCCACTGTGTAGAATATGACTGATAAGACTGAAATATGAGAGATACAAATGGACCTGAGCATCTCGGTCTCTGAGTTTGTCACATGTGGTTCAGGAACATCAGGAAGGGCCCAGATCCAGCCCCCCCCAAGCCACCACCCCCCTCCCCCACTGCACACCTTTCTATCATGGCATGAGGGCCACCTTCCTCTTATGAAACAGCACCTACCTGGGTGGTGAGGCCATCAGTCTGATCCTCACCCCATGTCACCTCAGATCTCCATTGAAAAGGAAGATGAGACAAGTGTCTTCAGCAGAAAAGCTTCAAAAGAATGCAGAGCAGTTTGTCAAGGCATCACTCAGGCCTCCATCTTTGCAGATCTTTGCAGTCTATCACTAACACTTTTCAGACTGTTACCGATATTTGAGACCTTAAGCTGAGGGCATCTCCTGCATACCACGTGCGGTTAGGTTACACGCACTTACCCCACTGTAAGCATATCTTAGAGGATGCTGGATGTTGGTGTCTAAAGCTCAGAAGTGTATCTGTCTCCTGTAAATGGTCATTGGGAAAATGGCTTCCAGATATGAACTTATGTGTGAATGTGGATTCATTTATATTTCAGAACAATTTTTCTTAGCCAAACCAATTTCTTTTGCAAGGAGTCATAACCAAGAGTCATCTAGTGCATTTCTCAGCGTGGTGTGGTGTCCTCTGTCTCAATCATACATATATGCTTAGAGTGATTGTTTTTCCTGTATTGCCTTTTAACAAGTTTGGTTATTATTTCCACTCTTTCCTGTGACATCACATCCTGTGATCTCACATCACATGATCTCAATGGGAAGTTCCTGTTGGCATGGACACCACAGGAGTTCCGTCCTCAGAGGCTGGCTTACCGTTACAGCAGAGATTCATAGCTACCAGGAAAAATGACAGAAAAAAGGCTGTACAAACTGCTGGGCGTACAAAGCCAGAGGTTCACTTCATGGCATGAAGCTTCAGTGGCTTTTAAAGCTCTGGGCGGACGAGGCCTCATCCTGGGAGCCCTCGTGTTTGTCTTTAATATATTAGAACTGTGCTCTTTGCCGACTGAAAGGAGCCAGAAGGGAGGGATATTATTAAAAAAGCAGCCTGCTGTCTGCTACATTTTCTCTCCTGTATATAAGTATTTTTCCAACTGTGAATCTCCCTCCCTCTCCCAGGAAAAGCAGACATTTATTTCAATCTGGCAAAAGCCCCTCACATTCAGAGCTCTGTCCCCTCTGCTGAAAACCAGCCTCTTGGGGCTCCAGCCTCGCTCAGAGCCCTCCCACAGCGTGAAACAGCCCCCCCCCACCACCACCACCATCACCCACCGCTTTTCTCATTACCAAGATGGGCACTGCAGAACCATGGAGGTTTAAATGGAGCCAATTAAACGTATCTGCCGTTTTTAAGCAGCCAAAAGCACACTTTCTTTTAGTGTCACTCGAAAGAAAATTCAAACTCCCTACTCTTTAACAGGGTATTTCATTTCAGCCAATCCAGTTAGATTTAAAAGGGTCCATTTTAGTGAATATATCCAATAAGAGACTAATTAATTGGGATTGAATTTGTAGTGGCAGTATCCTGCTCTGGGGTATGATCTGGTTCATTTTACTGTGAGAATTTGAGCACCTCCTGCAGGTAGGGTTGCCAACTACATCTGCCTGTCTGACCCATTGTCCCACATGGGCAGCCATGCAGGTGGATCAAAGGCACGGGTGGTGATGCTTCAACCACGGCAGGTCACTGACAAGCAGTTTGTTTTTTAAAATGGCCCCAAAAGTCCTTAAAACGGTGGCAGCCCAGAGACCTGGCAGTACGAAGCAGTTTCCGCGCACGTCGCGTTATTCTGTCAGTGTGGCCTTTGGGAGTCTGACCAAACTGACGCATGGGCGGCCGACGCTGCGGCTGCCGTACAACATCCGTCAAGGCGCCATGGCAACAGCTGAGACACGGCAGCTCCGGTCAAATCCGAGGTGCTTGTGGTGACCCGTGGCAGAGCCCCACCCCCCCACCGCAGAAATGGGGGCAGTGTCCTGAGAGCCAAGCCCGCAGACCCCCCTCCGGCCGGAACATGGGCTGCAATGTAGCCTAATTAGATTATTGGTGATTTAGAGAGAGTAGCTGCCGGTCCCTGGGCCGATGGGAGCGCCCCGCTGGCCTTGGGTCCCCCTGCTCCCTGATTTCCCACCATTCCCTACCTCCTCTCTGCCTCCTCGCTCTTTCTGTTCTCCTCCCCATTATTTCCTTTTCTCTGTCTCCTTCTCCCCTTTCTCCTCTTTCTCTTTCCTTACCCATTCTACTTTCTGTCTTTCTCTACCCATTTTGCACTCTCTCGTTCTCTCCACTTTATCTCTCTTTTCTTTCTGTTTCCCTCTTTCTCATTCTTCTCTTCCCTCTTTCTCTCATCTCTCTCTACTCTGGTCTGTCTCCCTTTCTCTCTTCTCACCTCTCCCTCTCTCCTCCCCCTCCCTCCCTCTTTCTCCTCCTATTTTTCTTTCCCCTCCTCTCCTTCTTTCCTCTCCCCCTTCCCCCTCTCCCCCTCCTTCTCTCTTTCTCTCTCCCCATGTTTCCCTCTAACACCCACCCCCTGTATTTCTAAAGGCACACTGCTGCATACCATTATTTTGGAACCACAGCACCGCACTTGCCCTTGGCAGCCCCCTGGAGTGACCCCCCCATGACCCCCCCATCCCCTCCCACTGCATGAGCCTCAGCTCTGGTGGGGCTGCTGGTGAGACCACTGTCCAATCAACAGTCTGCAGTTTATTCCTATCCAAGGCTATTTTAACACTGATAACAGAAATGTCTGTGTTTGCAGCAATAGACCTTGGACACCATTCAGTGCTGACAGAATATTCATCCCTATTGCTGTTTGCAATTTTGCTTTTCTCTGCAGGTGAAGCCACCTAGTATTATTTACTCTATATAAATATTAAAAAATGTAATATGTAGGATTAGTTAGCATATAATGGCCTCAGTGATGCTTTCATAACTAGGGTCTTTGAGTAAAAAATACAAAACGGTACAGCAGACTGGCCTGTTTACCACTTGTATACATGCCACTTAATCCCCGCTCCACTCTGCCCAGTTTGGCCCCCCATGAAGGTCACACCGGCTCTGCTAAAGCTCTCGGGCCTCCAGGTTCTCGTAACAGGGGAACAAAGGGCTTGAGGTTGGCCTCTGTGGCGATTCTGCGTCTCCCTCAGCCGGGTCGACGACAGCGGGAGACGCGGCAGCTGGAGAAGCCGTGATTCTGGGCAGGACGTGGATGTGAGGATGCCTGGGAATGGGGGACAGGGTGCTCCCTTTATTATTCTCTGTCCCGTACCCCCCACCCGTATGCATCCCAAGGAATGCTGTCTGTGTTCCCGAGTGGCACTGAGTCGCTATCAGAGGGAGCAGCTTGTCGCCTGCCAGGGAGCCGCTGGTGTAATTAACCCGCCGGTCGTCAGAAGCGGAGCATGGCGAGGGCCCCCCAGCTCAGCTCTCCCCGCACGGCCCCCCTCATGCAAAACCACCTGTACTGATTAAGAAACAAGCAGATTAAAGAGCTACACTTTCTATCCGCTGTCAACTGGCCCTTTAAGAAAGTGCGTTACGCTCCGCTGCCTGGCGCTCCGCCGCGTGGGCGAGCCGCCGATGCCCCGTTATTACGCACATTGGTATTCCAGGCATGTGTTTGCCGGCCGCCACAGCTGGTCCTGCGCCGGACCGGGCCACAGGTCCCGTACCACCTGATCTGGGCTCTTTCCTGGTTCCAGCAGCCCAAGGACACCGGCAAGGGAGGGGCTGGTAGCCTAGCAGCCTGAATTGCCGCCCCCCCAGCCTGAATTATTGATGAGCAGCCTTGCAAACTCCTCCCCCCCGTTTGGATCAAAATGTTAATTTCTCCTTGTTTGCGAATCTGTATTTTTTCCTTTGTCCACGTGTTGCGTGTGCAGCACAGGCGAGCAGCTCAGGGGGCAAAATTCACAGGCCCTAAGGTGGGGCTCGGCTGACGTGGGGGTCACCAGGTCAGGGTCGGCCCGCACTAACTGCCTGCTAAACGGGGGGGTGACAAGAAGTAAAGCATCTGCATGGAGCCTTGTAAATTTTGGGAGATTGATATGGTTTGCACAGTAACAGGCGGTGATTGAAGACCGGAGACGGGATGGGGTTAGGGTTGGGGGGATCAGGCTTTGAGGTCAGTGGCCCAGAGCATCAGTAGTGGGGGGGGGGGGTTCCCTACCCACTCTCCCCGGTTTCTTGGCTAATGCACAATCTATGTTATTTTCCAGCTGCAGTGCACAAAGCACCTAACAAAACAACAAGATGAAAGTGTCCCATCTATTATTCATCTATGAATTAGATCTCGCCTGGACGAATTTTGGGGAGGGGCTTCTGGGTGGCAGGGGGGACAAGCTTCTCGGAGTGGGGGTTGGGGCCACTTAAAATGTCAAGCCCTGCTTTCAGAGAACAAACAGGCTTTCCGGTCCCCCCGTATATGATCAGTAACACTGCGGAGAAGTTTCTCATCCCTAAAACACCTGTCTGCACGCATCTCGTCCTGCACTGTGGGAACTAAGTCAGCTTTAATTCCATGCGACACAGATTCAGCTGAATACTGTTGTAGCAGAGATCCAGACCAAACTGAATGTAGCAAATGAACATACCAATGGAATACTGCAGGGTCCATTTCTTCATTGTGCAATACTGATATATTGAAAGCAGATGCGCGACAGGGTGCAGCTAATCTTAAAGCTAACCCAGCCCGTTGGGCCTGCTGGTATTTCACAGTTGTTCTAAACACGATTATAGTTATTGTACTTTGCCCTATCATTGTCTTACTCCGGAAATCCTTTGAGATTCCAGCCTGGAAAACCAGCTGATGTAGCAGCTGTCCATAAAAAGGGATATAGTGCCCCCCCCCCCCCCCCCCCCCCCCCCACACACACACACACACACACACCCACCCCCACCCCACCCACCAGCTACTGAACAATTAGATATAACTGTGTTACAGGTGAAGGTTATGGAGGGTCAGATTAGCTACTTGTTAAGCTCAATTGTTAAAGGACAGTCTGCACTAATATGGTGAAGGAAGATGCCGTGTGACTTACTTATTGGCTTTGTCTGAGTGACAAGTGACATGCGACAGAAACCTTATGATGTGGTTTGTGATGTTGGATATATTTTCTAAAGTTTCACGAACAAGGCTGGTAATAATATGCACTGAATACACTGT